TCAACTGTACATTACATATTTACATTTTAGTCATTTAGCAGACGCTCTTATCCAGAGCGACTTACAGTTAGTGAGTGCATACATTTGTTTGTTTTTCATACTGGCCCCCCGTGGGAATCGAACCCACAACCCTGGCGTTGCAAACGCCATGCTCTACCAACTGAGCTACCCGGGACTTATAAAACAAAAATATAAAACAGTACATCATAGAACATTATTACACCACTACATATCTACAATACAAAATGTTTAATACCACCATACAGCAATATCACAATGTGTGCGTATGCATGTGTCTGTACCTTTTTGTGTGTCTCTTCACAGTCCCCGTTGTTCCATAAGGTGTATTTTTACCCTTTTTAAAAAATCTGATTCTACTGCTTGCATCAGTTACCTGATGTGGAATAGAGTTCCATGTAGTCATGGCTCTATGTAGTACTGTCCGCCTCCCATAGTCTGTTCTGGACTTGGGGACTGTGAAGAGACCTCTGGTGGCATGTCTTGTGGGGTATGCATGGGTGTCCGAGCTGTGTGCTAGTATTTTAAACAGACAGCTCGGTACATTCAGCTTGTCAACACCTCTTACAAAAACAAGTAGTGATTAAGTCAATCTCTCTTCCACTTTGAGCCATGAGAGATTGACATGCATGTCATTAATGTTAGCTCTCAGTGTACTTTTAAGGGCCAGCCGTGCTGCCCTGTTCTGAGCCAACTGCAATTTTCCCAAGTCCCTCTTTGTGGCACCTGACCACATTACTGAACAGTAGTCTAGGTGTGACAAAACAAGGGCCTGTAGGACCTGCCTTGTTGATAGTGTTGTTAAGAAGGCAGAGCAGCGCATTATTATGGACAGACTTCTCCCCATCTTAGCTACTGTTGTATCAATATGTTTTGACCATGACAGTTTACAATCCAGGGTTACTCCAAGCAGTTTAGTCACCTCAACTTGCTCAATTTCCACATTATTCATTATGAGATGTGGTTGAGGTTTAGGGTTTAGTGAATAATTTGTCCCAAATACAATGCTTTTAGTTTTGGAAATATTTAGGACTAACTTATTCCTTGCTACCCATTCTGAAACTAACTGCAGGTCTTTGTTAAGTGTTGCAGTTATTTCAGTTGCTGTAGTAGCTGACGTGTGTAGTGTTGAGTCATCCGCATACATAGACACACTGGCTTTACTCAAAGCCAGTGGCATGTCGTTAGTAAAGATGGAAAAAAAGTAAGGGGCCTAAACAGCTACCCTGGGGAATTCCTGATTCTACCTGGATTGTGTTTGAGAGGCTTCCATTAAAGAACAAGTAACTCTTTATCCACATTATAGAAGGGGGTGTAAAGCCATAACAAGTTTTTCCAGCAGCAGACTATGATCGATAATGTCAAAAGCTGCACTAAAGTCTAACAAGACAGCCCCCACAATCATTTTATCATCAATTTCTCTCAGCCAATCAGTCATTTGTGTAAGTGCTGTGCTTGTTGAGCATCCTTCCATATAAGCATGCTGAAAGTCGGTTGTCAATTTGTTTACTGTGAAATAGCATTGCATCTGGTCAAACACCAATTTTTTTCCAGAAGTTTACTAAGGGTTGGTAACAGGCTGATTGGTCGGCTGTTTGAGCCAGTAAAGGGGGCTTTACTATTCTTGGTTAGCGGAATGACTTTAGCTTCCCTCCAGGCCTGAGGGCACACACTTTCTAGTAGGCTTAAATTGAAGATGTGGCAACTAGGAGTGGCAATATTGTCCGCTATTATCCTCAGTAATTTTCCATCCAGATTGTCAGACCCGGGTGACTTGTCATTGTTGATAGACAACAATAATTTTTTCACCTATTCCAAACTGACATTACGGAATTCAAAAGTACAATTCTTGTCTTTCATAATTTGGTCAGGTATACTTGGATGTGTAGTGTCAGCATTTATTGCTGGCATGTCATACCTAAGTTTGCTTATCTTGCCAATGAAGAAGTCATTAAAGTAGTTGGCAATATCAGTGGGTTTTGGGATGAATGAGCCATCTGATTTAATGAATGATGGAGCGGAGTTTTCCTTTTTTCCCAATATTTCATTTAAGGTGCTACAAAGCTTTTTACTATCATTCTTTATATCATATATATATATATATTTTGTTTGTTTGTTTGTCATTTAGCAGACACTCTTATCCAGAGCGACTTACAGTTAGTGAGTGCATACATTTTCATACTGGCCCCCCGTGGGAAATGAACCCACAACCCTGGCGTTGCAAGCGCCATGCTCTACCAACTGAGCTACAGGGGACCTTTTCATAGTATAGTTTATTTTTATTTAGTTAAGTCACATGATTTCTTAATTTGCAGTATGTTTGCCAATCAGTTGGGCTGCCAGACTTATTTGCCATACCTTTTGCCTCATCCCTCTCAACCATACAATTTTTCAATTTCTCATCAATCCAAGGGGATTTAGCAGTTTTTACAGTCATTTTCTTAATGGGTGCATGCTTATTAGTAACTGGAATAAGCAATTTCATAAATGTGTAAAGTGCAGCGTCTGGTTGCTCCTCATTACTCACCACAGAGCAGCAAATATTCTTTACATCATCAACATATGAATTACTACAAAACGTATTGTATGACCTCTTATACACTATATTAGGCCCAGCCTTTGGAACTTTGGTTTTCCTAGATACAGTGAGGGGAAAAAAGTATTTGATCCCCTGCTGATTTTGTACGTTTGCCCACTGACAAAGATATGATCAGTCTATAATTTTAATGGTAGGTTTATTTGAACAGTGAGAGACAGAATAACAACAAAAAAATCCAGAAAGACGCATGTCAAAAATCTTCTACTTTGATTTGCATTTTAATGAGGGAAATAAGTATTTGACCCCCTCTCAATCAGAAAGATTTCTGGCTCCCAGGTGTATTTTATACAGGTAACGAGCTGATATTAGGAGCACACTCTTAAAGGGAGTGCTCCTAAATCAGCTTGTTACCTGTATATAAGACACCTGTCCACAGAAGTGATCAATCAATCAGATTCCAAACTCTCCACCATGGCCTAGACCAAAGAGCTACCTCCAAGGATGTCAGGGACAAGATTGTAGACCTACACAAGGCTGGAATGGGCTACAAGACCATCGCCAAGCAGCTTGGTGAGAAGGTGACAACAGTTGGTGCGATTATTCGCAAATGGAAGAAACACAAAATAACTGTCAATCTCCCTCGGCCTGGGGCTCCATGCAAGATCTCACCTCGTGGAGTTGCAATGATCATGAGAACGGTGAGTGGTCAGCCCAGAACTACACAGGAGGATCTTGTCAATGATCTCAAGGCAGCTGGGACCATAGTCACCAAGAAAAAAATTGGTAACACACTACGCCGTGAAGGACTGAAATCCTGCAGCGCCCGCAAGGTCCCCCTGCTCAAGAAAGCACAAATACATGCCCATCTGAAGTTTGCCAATGAACATCTGAATGATTCAGAGGAGAACTGGGTGAAATTGTTGTGGTCAGATGAGACCAAAATTAAGCGCTTTGGCATCAACTCAACTCGCCATGTTTGGAGGAGGAGGAATGCTGTCTATGACCCCAAGAACACCATCCCCACCGTCAAACATGGAGGTGGAAACATTATGCTTTGGGGGTGTTTTTCTGCTAAGGGGACAGGACAACTTCACTGCATCAAAGGGACGATGGACGGGGCCATGTACCGTCAAATCTTGGGTGAGAACCTCCTTCCCTCAGCCAGGGCATTGAAAATGGGTCGTGGATGGGTATTCCAGCATGACAATGACCCAAAACACACGGCCAAGGCAACAAAGGAGTGGCTCAAGAAGAAGCACATTAAGGTCCTGGAGTGGCCTAGCCAGTCTCCAGACCTTAATCCCATAGGAAATCTGTGGAGGGAGCTGAAGGTTTGAGTTGCCAAACGTCAGCCTCGAAACCTTAATGACTTGGAGAAGATCTGCAAAGAGGAGTGGGACAAAATCCCTCCTGAGATGTGTGCAAACCTGGTGGCCAACTACAAGAAACGTCTGACCTCTGTGATTGCCAACAAGGGTTTTGCCACCAAGTACTAAGTCATGTTTTGCAGAGGGGTCAAATACTTATTTCCCTCATTAAAATGCAAATCAATTTATAACATTTTTGACATGCGTTTTTCTGGATTTTTTTGATGTTATTCTGTCTCTCACTGTTCAAATAAACCTACCATTAAAATTATACAAAATTATACACTGATCATTTCTTTGTCAGTGGGCAAACGTACAAAATCAGCAGGGCGTACAAAATCAGTATGGCTACTATATTGTGATCACTACATCCTATGGATTTGGATACTGTTTTTTTAAAGCAAATTTCTGCAGCATTAGTAAAGATGTGATCAATACATGTTGTTGATTTAATTCCTGTGCTGTTTGTAAATACCCTGGTAGGTTGACTGACAACCTGAACCAGGTTGCAGGCACTGGTTACAGTTTGAGGTTTTTTCTTGAGTGGGCAGCTTGATGAGAGCCAATTAATATTGAAACCATCCAGAAAATATACTTCTCTGTTTATCACATACATTATCAAGCATTTCACACTTGTTATCCAGATACTGACTGTTAGCACTTGGTGGTCTATAGCAGCTTCCCAAAATAATGGGATTTAGGTGAGGCAGATTATCCTGTAGCCATATTACTTCAACAGTATTTAACATGAGATCGTCTCTAAGCTTTACAGGAATGTGGTTCTGAATATAGACCGCAACACCGCCCCTGTTGGCATTTCTGTCTTTTCGGTAGATGTTATAACCATGTATTGCTACCACTGTATCATCAAATGTATTATCTAAGTGAGTTTCAGAGATAGTCAGAATATGAATGTAATCTGTTACAAGCAAGTTATTGACTTCATGGACTTTGTTTCTCAGGCTGCATATGTTAATATGGGCAATTTTTTGCACTTGTAGTTCACACTTAGTTCATCATTCCTTTTAGTGGTGTAGTTTCTAAATGTCTCCTTCTCAATGTTTTTTTGGCATAAAATGTACCTAATTGCAGGTAATATTGCCAGAGCAGGACAGTATGACTGTATCAAGTAACTAACGTTTCTCCCTCCCTCCCTCCTCTCTCCATAGTAAATGAGTACCTGTTTATGGTGCAGGCCACAGGGATCCACATCAAGGACAACGTGAAGAACATCGGTGCTCAGGTTCTAGAGCAGGTGGTCAGAGGTGGTTACAATATCAATGGGACAGGTAAGACACATCTAACACAGGTTCTTAATGTTAGGGCACAACTTACAAGTCACTGCTAACACAGGTCGGTTACAGTCACTGCTAACCAGGTTCTAATGTTAGGGCACAACTTAAAGTACCTAACACGTCACTGTTAGGGCACATACAAGTCAGCTAACACAGGTTCTTAATGTTAGGCAACTTAAGGCATGCAACACAGGTTATGTTAGGGCAACAACTACAAGTCACTGCTACAACACAGGTTCTTAATGTTAGGGCACAACTTACAGTCAGCTCACAGTCTAAGTTAGGCACAACTTACAAGTATGCTCTTCTAATGTTAGGCAACTTACATCAGCAACACGGTCTTAGTTAGGCACACTTACAAGTCCACTGCGAACCAGGTTCTTAATGTAAGGACACAGCTAACACAGGTCCTTAATATAATATGTTTGTAAACACTTCTACATTCATGTGGATGCTACCATGATTACGGATAGTCCTGAATGATTTGTGAATAATGATGAGTGAGAAAGTCAGACGCACCTATATCATACCCCCAAGACATGCTAACCTCTCACCATTACATTAACATGGGAGGTTAGCATTTTTGGGGAGTATGATATTTGTGCGTCTTTCTCACTCATCATTATTCATGATTCATTCAGGATTATCCGTAATCATAGTAGCGTCCACATTAATGTAGAAGTGTTTAGAAACATATTATATTGAGGACCCAGTGGCAAGATGTGCCAAGCTTATAGAGACATACACCAAGAAACATTCAGGCCCTGTGTAGCTTAGTTGGTAGAGCATGGCGCTTGCAACGTCAGGGTTGTGGGTTCGATTCCCACGGGGGGCCTGTATGAAAAAAAAAAAAAAAAATACAAATGCACTCACTTAACTGTATGTCGCTCTGGATAAGAACGTCTGCTAAATGACTAAAATGTAAAATGTAAAAATTTAAACTTGCAACTGTAATTGCTGCAAAACGTGGATCTACAAAGTATTGACTTTGGGCAGTGAATAGTTATGCACGCTCAAGTTTTCTGTTTTTTTGTCTTATTTCTTGTTTGTTTCACAATAAAAAATATTTTGCATCTTCAAAGTGGTAGGCATGTTGTGTAAATCAAATGATACAAACCCCGCAAAAATCAATTTTAATTCCAGGTTGTAAGGCAACAAAATAAGAAAAATGCCAAGGGGGATGAATAATTTCGCAAGCCTGACAGAGGCCCATTATCAGCAACCATCAGTCCTGTGTTCCAATGGCACGTTGTGTTTGCTAATATAAGTTTATCATTTTAAAAGGCTAATTGATCATTAGAAAACCCTTTTGCAATTATGTCAGCACAGCTGAAAACTGTTGTGCTGATTAAAGAAGCAATAAAACTGGCCTTCTTGAGACTAGTTGAGTATCTGGAGCATCAGCAATTGTGGGTTCGATTACAGAATCAAAATGGCCAGAAACAAATCACTTTCTTCTGAAACTCGTCAGTCTACTCTTGTTCTGAGAAATGAAGGCTATTCCATGCGAGAAACTGCCAAGAAACTGAAGATCTCGTACAACGCTGTGTACTACTCCCTTCACAGAACAGCGCAAACTGGCTCTAACCAGAATAGAAAGAGGAGTGGGAGGCCCCGGTGCACAACTGAGCAAGAGGACCATAACATTAGAATGTCTAGTTTGAGAAACAGGCGCCTCACAGGTCCTCAACTGGCAGCTTCATTAAATAGTACCCGCAAAACACCAGTCTCAACGTCAACAGTGAAGAGGCGACTCCAGGATGCTGATCTTCTAGGCAGAGTTGCAAAAAAAAAGCCATATCTCAGACTGGCCAATAAAAATAAAGATTAAGATGGGCAAAAGAACACAGACACTGGACAGAGGAAGATTGGAAAAAAGTGTTATGGACAGACGAATTGAAGTTTGAGGTGTTCGGATCACAAAGAAGAACATTTGTGAGACACAGACCAAATGAAAAGATGCTGGAGGAGTGCTTGATGCCATCTGTCAAGCATGGTGGAGGCAATGTGATGGTATGTGGGTGCTTTGGTGGTGGTAAAGTGGGACATTTGTACAGGGTAAAAGGGATCTTGAAGAAGGAAGGCTATCACTCCATTTTGCAACGCCATGCCATACCCTGTGGACGGCGCTTGATTGGAGCCAATTTCCTCCTACAACAATGACCCAAAGCACAGCTCCACACTATGCAATAACTATTTAGGGAAGAAGCAGTCAGCTGGTATTCTGTCTATAATGGAGTGGCTAGCACAGTCACCGGATCTCAACCCTATTGAATTGTTGTGCTTGACCGTATGGTACGTAAGAAGTGCCCATCAAGCCAATCCAACTTGTGGGAGGTGCTTCAGGAAGCATGGAGTGAAATCTCTTCAGATTACCTCAACAAAATGACAACTAGAATGCCAAAGGTCTGCAAGGCTGTAATTGCTGCAAATGGAGGATTCTTTGACGAAAGCAAAGTTTGAAGGACACAATTATTATTTCAATTAAAAATCATTATTTCTAACCTTGTATGTTTTCATGGAAAACAAGGACATTTCTAAGTGACCCCACATTTTTTTGAACGGTAGTGTATGTATTAGGAAATACTCTTGGAAAGTATTTGATACTCAAATACACGCCCATGCATTTAACCCAGGTATTTGAAAATAACTATTTGAAAATACTGTCAAATACTATTTGGTAGACTATTTGGCTTTTACAAATAACCATTCAAATAACCATAAAAGTACTTTTTTGGGGCTGTGTATTTAAAATACCAGGTACTCTAATACACATGTATTTGAACCCAGGTCTGGTCACCACAATGAGAGCACTGGCTTCTTCTTTAACTGGAAATGTTTGGCTAGTGGTTTTAAACAGGGTTGTGTGTGTCTGTGTTTTGGCCTTACTATGTGAAATACATCAGTGGGTAGACATGGTTGTGTTGTGTTGGTCTGGAAAGTACATGCATAACTAATGTGGTTAAACTGCTACGCCCAGCTCTCACACACACCAAAAACATATACAAAACATTATTAACGTGTGTGTGTGTGTGTGTGTGTGTGTGTGTGTATATATATATATATATATATATATATATATATATTACAGTGAGGGGGAAAAAAGTATTTGATCCCCTGCTGATTTTGTACGTTTGCACACTGACAAAGAAATGATCAGTCTGTAATTTTAATGGTAGGTTTATTTGAACAGAGAGAGACAGAATAACAACAAAAAAATCCAGAAAAACGCATGTCAAAAATGTTAGAAATTGATTTGCATTTTAATGAGGGAAATAAGTATTTGACCCCTCTGCAAAACATGACATAGTGCTTGGTGGCAAAACCCTTGTTGGCAATCACAGAGGTCAGACGTTTCTTGTAGTTGGCCACCAGGTTTGCACACATCTCATGAGGGATTTTGTCCCACTCCTCTTTGCAGATCTTCTCCAAGTCATTAAGGTTTCGAGGCTGATGTTTGGCAACTCGAACCTTCAGCTCCCTCCACAGATTTTCTATGGGATTAAGGTCTGGAGGCCAAGACCAAATAGCTCTCCAAGGATGTCAGGCCCAAGATTGTAGACCTACACAAGGCTGGAATGGGCTACAAGACCATTGCCAAGCAGCTTGGTGAGAAGGTGACAACAGTTGGTGCGATTATTCGCAAATGGAAGAAACACAAAAGAACAGTCAATCTCCCTCAGCCTGGGGCTCCATGCAAGATCTCACCTCGTGGAGTTGCAATGATCATGAGAACGGTGAGGAATCAGCCCAGAACTACACAGGAGGATCTTGTCAATGATCTCAAGGCAGCTGGGACCATAGTCACCAAGAAAACAATTGGTACCACACTACGCCGTGAAGGACTGAAATCCTCATTGGCATCAACTCAACTCGCCGTTTTTGGAGGAGGAGGAATGTTGCCTATGACCCCAAGAACACCATCCCCACCGTCAAACATGGAGGTGGAAACGTTATGCTTTGGGGGTGTTTTTCTGCTAAGGGGACAGGACAACTTCACCGCATCAAAGGGACGATGGATGGGGCCATGTACCGTCAAATCTTGGGTGAGAACCTCCTTCCCTCAGCCAGGGCATTGAAAATGGGTCGTGGATGGGTATTCCAGCATGACAATGACCCAAAACACACGGCCAAGGCAACAAAGGAGTGGCTCAAGAAGAAGCACATTAAGGTCCTGGAGTGGCCTAGCCAGTCTCCAGACCTTAATCCCATAGAAAATCTGTGGAGGGAGCTGAAGGTTCGAGTTGCCAAACATCAGCCTCAACCTTAATGACTTGGAGAATATCTGCAAAGAGGAGTGGAACAAAATCCCTTCTGAGATGTGTGCAAACCTGGTGGCCAACTACAAGAAATTTCTGACCTCTGTGATTGCCAACAAGGGTTTTGCCACCAAGTACTAAATCATGTTTTGCAGAGGGGTCAAATACTTATTTCCCTCATTAAAATGCAAATCAATTTATAACATTTTTGATATGCGTTTTTCTGGATTTTTTGTTGTTGTTATTCTGTCTCTCACTGTTCAAATAAACCTAACATAAAAATTATAGACTGATCATGTCTTTGTCAGTGGGCAAACATACAAAATCAGCAGGGGATCAAATACTTTTTTCCCTCAATGTGTGTGTATATATATATATATATATATATATATATATATATATATATATATATATATACATATACAGTTGAAGTCGAAAGTTTACATACACTTAGGTTTACATACACATTAAAACTTGTTTTTCAACCACTCCACAAATGTCTTGTTTACAAACTATAGTTTTGGCAAGTCTGTTAGGCCATCTACTTTGTGCATGACACAAGTAATTTTTCCAACAATTGTTTACAGACAGATTATTTCACTTATAATTCACTGTATCACAATTCCAGTGGGTCAGAAGTTTACATACAATAAGTTGACTGTGCCTTTAAGCAGCTTGGAAAATTCCAGAAAATTATGTCATGGCTTTAGATGTTACTGATAGGCTTATTGACATAATTTGAGTCAATTGGAGGTGTACCTGTGGATGTATTTCAAGGCCTACCTTCAAACTCGGTGAGTCTTTGCTTGGCATCATGGGAAAATTAAAAGAAATCAGCCAAGACCTCAAACTTTTTTTAGACCTCCACAAGTCTGGTTCATCCTTGGGAGCAATTTCTAAACGCCTGAAGGTACCACGTACATCTGTACAAACAATAGTACGCAAGTATAAACACCATGGGACCACGCAGCCGTCATACCGCTCAGGAAGGAGACGCGTTCTGTCTCCTAGAGATGAACGTACTTTGGTGCGAAAAGTGCAAATCAATCCCAGAACAACAGCAAAGGACCTTGTGAAGATGCTGGAGGAAACAAGTACAAAATTATCTATATCCACAGTAAAACAAGTCCTTTATTGACATCACCTGAAAGGCAGCTCAGCAAGGAAGAAGCCACTGCTTCAAAACCGCCATAAAAAAGCCCGACACAGTTTGCAACTGCACATGGGGACAAAGATAAGTACTTTTTGGAGAAATGTCCTCTGGTCTGATGAAACAAAAATAGAACTGTTTGGCCATAATGACCATCGTTATGTTTGGAGGAAAAAGGGGGATGTTGCAAGCCGAAGAACACCATCCCAACCGTGAAGCACGGGGGTGGCAGCATCATGCTGTGGGGGTGCTTTGCTGCAGGAGGGACTGGTGCACGTCACAAAATAGATGGCATCATGAGGAAGGAAAATGATGTGGATATATATTGAAGCAATATCTCAAGACATCTTATTGTAGGAAGCTTGTGGAAGGCTACCCAAAACGTTTGACCCAAGTTAAACAATTTAAAGGCAATGCTAACAAATACTAATTGAGTGTATGTAAACTTATGACCCACTGGGAATGTGATGAAATAAATAAAAGCTGAAATAAATCATTCTCTCTACTATTATTCTGACATTTCACATTCTTAAAATAAAGTGGTGATCCTAACTGACCTAAGACAGGGACTTTTTACTAGGATTAAATGTCAGGAATTGTGAAAAACTGAGTTTAAATGTATTTGGCTAAGGTGTATGTAAACTTCCGACTTCAACTGTGTGTGTATATATATATCCCCATATTATTATATTTGTATATATATAATATATTAAAAAATATAATAATATATGGGGATTGGAAATGATGCAGACAATTACATTGATGGAACCCTCAATCCGGACTATTAACACTGAGCAACACACTGGCAGTAGCCGAGATGTGTTTAGGTCAGGCCATTGATGATTTATCCTTCTGTCTGTGACCAGATTATGCCTATGACTTCAACCTGAGTGAGAGTGATGTGCCGCCCACCACATACCTCCCCAACAGCTTCACCTATCTGCCCTCACAGATCTGCCCAGAGAGACTGCCCTCCATGAGTGAGTAGAAATACACACACACACACACGTTTGTTTTACTATCCTTGTGTGGAAAAAAACAATTGATTCCCATTAAAAATCAGATTTTCCCTAACCTTAACCCCAAATCCCTAACTCCTAACCCTAAACCTAACCCTTAATTCTAACCCTATTGTAACCCTAAACCTAAGCCTACAATATCCTTCTTCCTTGTGGGTACGGGCAAATGTCCCCACTTGTTTGAATTTTCCTTGTTTTACTATCCTTGTGAGGACTTCTGGTTCTCACAAGGACAGTAAAACCACAAACACACACACACACTAGACTATTGACCTCTAACCATTAGCTAGTCGCTGTGTAAACAGGTTTGATTTATTTCAAGCACTACTTTCAAAGAGTTTCTTCACAAAGAGACTGGTATTTTATACCTATAGAGTTATATTATGAGCTTTGTGCTCCCCAGCCAGTGAAGGACTGTTACCTCAGTGCTTGAATGTCAGTTAATTTAGTCTTACGAGTGTATACGTGGTTGAGGGCTGGCCTGTTCTTTCAGAGTTGATCTCTCTATTTAACTCTCTCTCTCTCTCTCTCTCTCTCTCTCTCAGAGGGGAGGCTGGAGGTGAATATGAGTGAGATAGCTCTGGAGGATGTGGAGAAGGTTCTGTTGAATGCTGAGCCTAGCATGACCCTGGGGGGCTACTGGAAGCCCAGGGACTGTGTCCCACGCTGGAAGGTGAGTTAGTGATTGGAGCAGTCCAGCAAACACACACACACACACACACCACAACAGCACGGTCATACTGCACCTCCACCTGCGTGTAGCCTGTATGGGACTCTGATGGAGACACTGTACTGTACAGTCGACTCTGGATCAATGCATCAGCCCTGGATAATGCAGTTATTAGTCTTTAAAATGGAACTGGAAATCTATATTGCACTTGAAGAGTGTGCAGCCAGCTCTATATTCCTCCCATGTCTAACTTTCTCTCAATGAAATGGAGGTACACAAACACACAATCAAACACAGTCGCAAAACAGCTGAGGTATGTTGAGCAGCCAAACAGTGACACTAAATTCCAACTAGATGTGTGTGTGAACCAGACACTGTTTCTGCAGGAAGTGTGTGTCTAGAATCAGACAGCTGATTGACAGAGGAAACAACACTCCAAGCCGGAGGGGGTTTGATGGTTGACATCTCCATTTCCCTACTCAAGCTCAAAGGAAACTTACAGACATGCCCTAGAACTTTGGCGATTACTAAGTATTTTTTAAACCTACTGCTTTGGGCTGGATTTGTCAATGTGTAGTTCATACATGCATAATCTCTGAGAATAATTACTGCCTTACCTCAATTAGCAACGTAATCCCTAGTTTGAAAGCAACTGTTTTACTGGAAGCTGTGCTGCGCCATTTTCCCTACATGTTCCCCCACATGGGCCAGCCCCTTAGCAATTCGAGTTCCAGCCAATGAGCTTCAGCCCCTCGCCATTTGAGTGACAGCTAACAAGATGCAAACACAGCAGAGCGAGACAGCAATGACGTGGTGCACATCTCTGCACAAGTACGCAATTTTCCGGGATCACTTTTGGCTCGTGAGCGCTACTTTCAGAACTACTGGCTAAGAAGTATATAAAAGTACCGGAGAATCTCTTTAAAGCTGCAGCTGCTACTAAGATTAACTCTTCTAAAAACCAGGGAAAGCATTTAGTTGGCACTCTCCAGGGTGACCTTCAATCCACCTATCCCCATGCTATGATCAATAGATGCCATATCTGATTGTGTGAAATTGTATTTCCGAAAGGCCTGTTGAAATAATTAAGAAATACCTTCTTCCTTACTTCTTTAGTGGTTGTGCGTTATCTGACGTGTGTAACAATGTTGTTCCCCTCCCTGTCCCTAGGTGGCGATACTGGTCCCATTCCGGAACCGCCATGAGCACCTGCCCATCTTGCTCAGACACCTGGTACCAGCACTACAGAAACAGAGGCTACAGTTCGCCTTCTATGTTGTAGAGCAGGTAAACACACACACACACACACACTGCTTGGGTATGTGTGGGTCACTGGATAACCACAGAACTGCTTGGGTATGTGTGGGTCACTGGATAACCACAGAACTGCTTGGGTATGTGTGTGTCACTGGATAACCTCTTTCTCTCCCTCCCTCCCTCCCCTTCTCTCCTCCTAGGTTGGAAGTGAGCCCTTCAATAGGGCCATGTTGTTTAACGTGGGCTTCCGGGAAGCGATGCGGGACCTGGACTGGGACTGTATGGTGTTCCACGATGTAGACCACATGCTGGAGAACGACAGGAACTACTACGGCTGTGGAGACATGCCTCGCCACTTCGCTGTCAAACTCAACAAGTACTCCTACATGTGAGTCTCACACACATTTTCAAACACGCACGCACACACGAACACACGCACGCATGCGCACACACATACACACATTATTTTGCCATTAGTTGGAGTTGTCCAGGTTTCTCCTAACTATTTCTTAGATATGTGTGTAATGCTGTGTGTGTGTGTGTGTGTGTGTGTGTGTGTGTCCTCTAGGCTTCCGTACAATGAGTTCTTTGGTGGCGTCAGTGGTCTGACAGTGGAACAGTTCACCAAGATCAATGGCTTTCCCAATGCATTCTGGGGCTGGGGAGGAGAGGATGACGACCTTTGGAACAGGTGAGGAGAACGCCCACCATACCCACACACTTCACTCCTCCCTTTTTATCAATAGTACACCCTGTTGTGTGCTATTATCAGCATTACTTCCTGTACTCAAACAGAACATAGACAGCACACACACACACTCAGCACACACGCACTCAGCACACACACACACACACACGCACTCAGCACACACACACACACACACACACACACACATACAGCACACGCACGCACACACACAGAACATAGACGGTACACACACACACACACACACACACTTCCTCCCCATCTGTGATCCTCTGTAGCTCAGCTGGTAGAGCACGGCGCTTGTAACGCCAGGGTAGTGGGTTCGATCCCCGGGACCACCCATACACAAAAATGTATGCACACATGACTGTAAGTCGCTTTGGATAAAAGCGTCTGCTAAATGGCTTATTATTATTATTATCAGTAACACACCCGACTCAGTATCATGATGCCTCAGCCCTTTCCCCCATAAAAACACAACCTTCCTCCCTACACACACACCTCCATACACACTCCCTGTCCCCTGTAACAGGTTTACAGTGCGAGGCTGTCGATAGTGCTGTCGATAGTGACATTGTTTAACCCTATCCCAAACCTAAACCCAGTGGAATTCAAAGTTGGGGTTGCAACCCCTAGTGGTGTCGTGGGGTAACTTCAGTGGGGTCACAGTACATATTAGTATATGGGACAATTTACAAACGTTTTTGAGAAAGATAATTTGAAAGATACAATGTTATTGAGTAAATGTATTTATTGGTTTCTTTTCATTTTGATAACAGATGAAAATGCAATTAATTGAAGGTTATTTGTTGATGTAAAAATCGAAATGTACTTATTTTCTTAAGGTTGTGTCATTAGATTTGAGGTGGGGTGGGGTCGCAAGAAATTATTGGGGGAAAAAGGGGGTCCCCAGAAAAAGTTTGAATACCACTGCCTTAACCTTTACCTTAACCATTCGGAATGAGTGCCTAAACTTAATGTTTTAACCGTATCCAAAACCTTAACCTTATAAATTTGATATTTGGAACAACTTCGAAATTTGACGTTTGATGAAATGTGGATAAACGTGTAAATCTCCAGTGAGACCGTGTTGGACACACAGCAGGCACTCTTCTTAGCCCCTCCCTCAACACACACACACAGCAGGCACTCTTCTTAGCCCCTCCCTCAACACACACACACAGCAGGCACTCTTCTTAGCCCCTCCCTCAACACACACACACAGCAGGCACTCTTCTTAGCCCCTCCCTCAACACACACACACAGCAGGCACTCTTCTTAGCACCTCCCTCAACACACACACACACAGCAGGCACTCTTCTTAGCCCCTCCCTCAACACACACACACAGCAGGCACTCTTCTTAGCACCTCCCTCAACACACACACACACAGCAGGCACTCTTCTTAGCCCCTCCCTCAACACACACACACACAGCAGGCACTCTTCTTAGCCCCTCCCTCAACACACACACACAGCAGGCACTCTTCTTAGCACCTCCCTCAACACACACACACACAACAGGCACTCTTCTTAGCCCCTCCCTCAACACACACACACAGCAGGCACTCTTCTTAGCCCCTCCCTCAACACACACACACACACACAGCAGGCACTCTTCTTAGCCCCTCCCTCAACACACACACACACAGGACTCAGAGTCCCCTCCCACTGAAGCAGCTGTGTACTGCGCCCCAAGCTTTACACAATCACTGACTACAATATGTACTGTAGAGTTTGTGCTGTGTGTTTGAATTCTGTTTCTACCATGCCGTTGTGAGTGTGTGACTGTAGTGTTACTGTGTGTGTGACAGGGTACAGTATGCTAACTACACGGTCAGTCGGCCGCAGGGAGAGTTGGGTCGCTACATGTCCATCCCACACCACCACCGTGGAGAGGTGCAGTTCCTGGGAAGGTTAGTCACACACACACACACACACCACTCTAGTAAACTAACACACATCCCCGGTGATACTTGGGGATTTGGATAAAGAGGGTGTTTGTGAGAGGAATGTAGCCCAGGCCCATGTGAGCCAGTCACATGAAGAGTCAGAGTTAGTGGCTTTGAGGGATTTCTCTACTCCTCCAAAGACTTTGCATGTGACTTGCTTGGGAGCTACATTCCAAGCAGACCCTCTCTTCTCACATTCCTAAATACTTAACATATTTTACAAGTCTGCAGTTACTCTGGTCAAACAGGTCAAATTGAGCCATCGTAAACCTGGGGTGTTTCCCAATAGTCTACCATAACTTCCTGCTGGTATCTTCTACTTCATCTTCTCTGGGACCAAAACTGGCCTTGGACCAGCATCTAGGCTGGAGGCCAGTAGACTTCATCCTCCTCTTTCTGATCCCTCTCTTTTTTTCTGCCCTCCCAGGTACACACTTCTGCGGCGTTCTAAGGAGAGACAGAGTCTGGATGGGCTCAACAACCTGCAGTACTCCCCCTTAGTGTCCCGGAGGCCTCTCTACACCAACATATCAGTCAGCCTGAGCAGAAAGCTAGCCCCTGTAGCGGACTACAACTGACCAGGAAGCAGCGGGCCGCACAGCCCTCTGAGAAACTAAGTCATTATGGACGTCAGCCATAGCTCACCAGTCACAGCACTGCTTTGGACTTTTTAGTTAATTTACTTTGATTCTGTTTTTTTAAGCAAAAAAGGAGACATGCAGAACGGTGTTGATTGATCAATCCTTGTGACGTGTAAGAGAAAGGAGAAAGCCGCACTCGTTTTGTGCCATGGTCCATCCATCGCTTCTATCATCCGAGCTTCTCTACTCTTCTGTCTCCACCTGCCTTCCACACCATTTTGGCCTTTAGCATTCATTATTTCATTAATTTGTTCAGTAAGTCATTAATTCACTCATGGAGACAATGGCAACCGTAACCATAATGGCAACCGGAACACATTCCCTCTATATGGCCGTGGTGTGGAGAGGACAGTAGTGTAGTTTACTAGTGTGTATGTGGCTTAGTGAGTTAGTTTGTACACACACAGACACACACAAATCTGCCGACACGGTCCCTAGGCTTCGATTTTAATTTGACCTTGCACTGAATATTTTCATTGATATATTAAACCTGTGAAAAACAGACACACAGAGTAGGTCCTCACAGCTGGCTCTGTGTAGGACATGCCAAACTTACGCAGTATGCATTGACGACGACGAGAGAGAGGTAGGGAGAGAGGGGTAGGGAGAGAGGGGTAGGGAGAGAGGGGTAGGGAGAGGGGTAGGGAGAGAGGGGTAGGGAGAGGGGTAGGGAGAGGGAGAGAGGGGTAGGGGGGTAGGGAGAGAGAGAGAGAGAGGGGGGTAGGGAGAGAGAGAAGAGAGAGGGTCGAGGGTGTGGGTAGGGAGCGGAGGGGTGTGGAGAGAGAGAGTGGGGGGTCGAGAGAGGGTCGGGGCGGTGGCGAGGGAGAGTGAGGGGCGAGACGGGGGGACGGAGCGTGTTCGGGGCGGGGGGGAGGAGGGGTCGGGCGTGGGGCGGGGGAGAGCGGGCGGGACGGTCGCGCGGGGTGGGCTCGGAGCGGGGGGTGGGAGATATTGGGGAGGGGGGTGGGGGAGGGGGGGTGAGGGGCGGGGCCTGAGAGGGAGGAGAGGGGAGGGAGAGAGGGGGAGGGAGAGAGGGGAGGAGAGAGAGAGAGGGGGGGAGGGATCGTTGTTCTAGTGTATGTCTGAGTGTGTGCATCACACGTGCACACCTGCTGTGGACAAAGGTATACAAATTAGCTTGAGACTGACTTGTGTGCAGAGTGGCTGACTGGTCAGGGACCTCAGTATCAGTACACAGCAAACTGCACAGTAGACACACCTTTAGCTAAACAAACATACTAGCCTAGCAAGTCAGAAATTGATCATCTTTGACAATACAGTGTGTGGGTGAATGTGTGTGAGAGAGAGAGAGGGAAAGCTATGCACATGGGCTTGTCAGCATCCTGTTTTCACTGCTTTGAACTAAACTGAAATGTTCACTGTTTACCTTATGTCATGCAGTTTAATGATGTTTGTTTCTATCACCTTTACCCTAAACATCAATGTTTATTCACCTATAGGGTCATTTGAGATGGCGCCTACAGAGGCAATATCAAAAAAGATAAACACGTATTACCATTTTATCTTTCACTAGTGTCTATTTAAAGACACTGCACTGTGTTTGCAGCTGCTTCGTGTAATGTTATTCTGACGTTGGTTAGACACTGGCATCGCTTTCCAGCCCTGTCCCACCCACCCCATCCTGCTGGACTATGAGGACGTTGCCCTTAGGCACTGCTCTAAGGTCAGAAAGGAACTGCAGCCACAGATTAAGTCATTAGCAAGCAGTTCATCTTTAGCCTGTGTGTATGTCTGTGTGTGGGAACAGTCTGAATACTGGCTTTTGTGTTTGGGTGGTATGGTACATAATACCTCACTAAGTAATGTAAGCTGAAGACGCATTCACCGCACAGAATATCTTGAGCAATTCCAGCCCTTCGTCCTCTTCTCGTGTGTTTATGTGTATTTTTGTATTTGTACTTATTAAGGATCTCCATTAGCTGCTGCCAAGGCAACTCTTCCTGGGGTCCAAACAAATTAAGGCAAAAACAAAAATAAAACAGTACATCATATAACATTATTACAGCACTACACCTCTACAGTACAACATTTATAATACCACCATACATACGTGTGTGTGGGTGTGCTAGAGTGTGTGTGTGTTTGGCAGTGTTTGAGTGAATTTGTTTTGTCACAGTACTGAAGTAACATCAAATGTGGTCCTACTGTTGTCTTTGTTTAACGCCCTATATTCCAACACACCGGCCCCTCCACGTCTCTCTCCGTCTCCATAGCTTCCATATACTGTACAACTACTTCATTTCACACACATCGCCTTGTCAAAACATTGACTTTCTTCAGATTTATCATTTGGGAAAAAATGTTTTTTTTGTGTTCCCATGATAATATGATGGAGGCAGGACCTCCTTTTATTTATTTAATCTTTTAAAGATTTTGTTGTGGTTGATATTGTGGTGATGATGATGATGATGATTCAGTAGAATACTTGCTGTGAGACAGGCTGTGTTAGAAGCACTGAAACTTGTAGTTGTGAAATTGGTGTGAGATTGAAAGTTCAACCTGTGTGGAAGGATGTTCCAAATCAACCCCTGCCCCTAAACTCTATGCACTTAGATCTGAAACAATTAGCAAAATGGTAACTGCTCCACCATGCCTTTTAATATGCTAGTTGGAATGTCTGCCATATTGCTTACACCTGTCCAATCCTTTCGGCTCTACACAAGTGCATAGAGATTAGGATCTAGGGGTTAATTTGGGATTTGACATGTTTATTAATCAGCTGAACAGGCATAGAGGCCATTTTGTGTGACATCCACAGGAAGAGGAAGACTCTTAATCATAAAGTCACTTCCTCCCACTAAGCACCTTCCATTTCCTGATCGATAATCAATGGTGCTGATCTGCTTGCCCTTCGATTGGGGGTGTTACTCACTACGTGCTAGCTGGGAACCAATCCTGTGTGTAGATAGCTACAGGAAGTACTCCTCTTATTGGTTCATCATTCCTCTTTTTAATGTCACCCAACTAGAAGCATGTGTTTACTTACCTACTGTAGCCAATCACATTGGAGGTGCTTAGTGGAGAGTTGTTGACATTAGCTGCTAGTTTTCTAAAGTCTTCCTCTTCGAGTGTGTTTGATTGAAATGGCAGAGCCTGTCAATGCCAGGGGCCCAGGTGTCATTTACAAATGTTGTTTTTGGTTGTAAATATTTAGATTTTGTTTGTTGTCAAGCTCTGATCTGTTCAGAGAGGCTGAGTTTGTAGGCCGGAGTGTTCCGATTCGAGCCCTAAGGTTTCTAGTACTGCTGGAGGAGGAGAGGAGTAAAACCCTGCAGTAGTGCTGACCTGAGGCCTGGGTGTGAATCCCCCTGCTGTCTGTCAGTTCTGAGTTAACCCCAGCCCAGACCTCGAGGCCTGCAGCCACTGGTTCTGTTCCTTTGCCTTGAACCAGTGACATTTGTTTTCTCTTTACAGTGCTACAGCTCTCAAGGACTGGGGGCACCTTGGTTTAGGCATTGTCTTCCATCAGATAGCGCAACGACCGTCTAACGGCATGTCCCGTTAGAAAGACTCCATCTGCCGGAAGACAATGGGGTTTAGATTGTTGTTCTAACTGATCCTGTGTCAGTGTTGTAAGCCCAGAGCTCAGCCAGGTGTGTCCCTGTGCTGCAACGCCCCAATCTTGTCAGGCTCCTCTCTGACCTAGCAGAGCCATGATCTGATCCATTCTGTGCCAGTCCAAATGAAGGGCCCAGCGCTGCTCATCCCTGGTATGGCTAGCCTCTGTTATTATTCTGTCTAGACGTACATGTAGCAGACTGGATAATCATGGAGGCTAGTCGTCTCAGAGATGAGCACCGACGCCCTGACAGACTGGCAAGCCTTAATAAAAACCTCTTTAATTTATTTCAGTGTTTTCACACTTTTTAATTTTTTATGAGCACATCTATTTAAATTGAAGAAGAAGAAGAAGAAGAAGAAAAAGGTGCATATAAGATAAATGTCCGCTCTGTAAATATTATTGTGTCTTGTGTTATCGAAAAGAGAAATAAAAGGTCTTAAATCCCTACGACCTAGAGGCTCCGCTGAGGTCTTTCTGGTGCCATGGAACTACTGAACCTCATCCAGCGCTACATAAACACTTTCACGTTATTGGTTACCAACTCATTGTAGATAAGGAATAATGTGAGGGTTAGTCCATCAGCATTAGAACCCATCAGCATTCTGGAATAGTTCCCCTTGTCATGAAGTAGAGGATGTGGGTCATCTCAGTAGTCTAAAGTGGTAAGATTTAGGTGTAGGGTTAAGGTGTAGCTTATAGGCAGTGCTTGACTTGGGCAGGAGCTCACCAGAGCCGAGTACCGGCACCTCAAATGTTCTACTGCTTGAGCTCCTGTTCCTTTTATAGAATATTAACTCAAAAGTATTGTGGAGCTCCTGCACCTAAATATGAACAGTAACGGCACCCAAAATGAGTACCGGAACCTATTTCAGTCCAAGTCAAGCACTGCTTATAGGGCGTAGGGAGAACTACATCAGCCAAAAACACCATATGCTTATAGACTAGTAATGGAACAAGGACCCTAAACCATACTCCAACTGCTACCAACTCCAGATTATACACCCCCAAAAGGTGTTTTTGTATAAAGGCAAATTAAAAGATGAATAAATAAATGACTATATTATAAATATATCTCTGATTGTAAGGACTTTATTTCTCCTTGAATTGAAGCCATCTGAAGCCACTTGTAAAACTTGATGTCAGCCTTACGTCTGTCTGTTTATCTGCATTATTATCTTTTGATTATTGAACATTTGTATGATGGAGTTTTTCATCGTTGTTATTGTCAAAGTACACCAATAAAATTAACTTTAAACGATGTCCGGGTGCTCTGAAATGATTGAAGTGAGGGGGGACACATTGGTTCAGAAAAGAGCTAGAAATAGAAGAAAGTTGGAGGAGTAAGGAGAAGAGGAAGAGGGAGTGGTCAGAGCCAATCACCCCAGTACTCTAGGAGAAATAGACCAGATCATGTCTCCTGTTAACAGAACTCTAGTCTCTCCACTGCACAGCTGTTCTGTATCAGATTAGTGCCTGGGACAAAGGTTTTGGTTGTTTAATTGTGTGTGTGTGTGTGTGTGTCCTTATCCGTCACAGCAGAGTGTGTGTGAGAAAGGGAGTGAGAGGAGGGTCACAGAGCTGCATTTAGAACATCAGCAGCAGCACATCTCCTCAGGTTAGGCCACTGCAGTCACCTGCCTTTTCATTTGGCTCCATTAAATCGTCTAAAACCACTAGGAGACATATGCCATGGCATTTTACTGTGTTATATGGTCATATTTGCTCATTCATTCATATACACCCCGTGCAGTGACACGCAATGCTTTTGACGGTTTTATCAGAAAAACATGTGTGAAAGGGTATACCTAATCTGTTGCACAACTGAATGCACTCAATGTGTCTTCCGCATTTAACTCAACCCCTCTGAATCAGAGAGGTGTGGGAGGCTGCCTTAATCGACGTCCATGTCATCGGCGCCCGGGGAATGTGCGTGCCTATGTATATATGTATGTTTATGAACACTCCCGGTCAAAAGTTTTAGAACAACTACTCATTCAAGGGTATTTCTTTATTTTTACTATTTTCTACATTGTAGAATAATAGTGAAGACATCAAAACTATGAAATAACACATATGGAATCATGTAGTAACCAAAAAAGTGTTAAAACAAATCAAAATATATTTTATATTTGAGATCTTTCAAATAGCCACCCTTTGCCTTGATGACAGCTTTGCACACTCTTGGCATTCTCTCAACCAGCTTCACCTGGAATGCTTTTCCAACAGTCTTGAAGGAGTTCCCACATATGCTGAGCACTTGTTGGCTGCTTTTCCTTTACTCTGCGGTCCAGCTCATTCCAAACCATCTCAACTTTGTTGAGGTCGGGGGATTGTGGAGGCCAGGTCATCTGATGCAGCACTCCATCACTCACCTTCTTGGTAAAATAGCCCTTACACAGCCTGGAGGTGTGTTGGGTCATTGTCCTGTTGAAAAACAAATGATAGTCCCACTAAGCCCAAACCAGATGGGATTGCATATTGCTGCAGAATGCTGTGGTAGCCATGCTGGTTAAGTGTGCCTTGAATTCTAAATAAATCACAGACAGTGTCACCAGCAAAGCACCCCCACACCATAACACCTCCTCCTCTAGGCTTTACGGTGGGAAATACACATGCAGAGATCCTCCGTTCACCCACACCACGTCTCACACGGCGATTGGAACCAAAAATCTCCAATTTGGACTCCAGACCAAAGGACACATTTTCACCGGTCTAATGTCCATTGCTCGTGTTTCTTGGCCCAAGCAAGTCTCTTCTTATTATTGGTGTCCTTTAGTAGTTGTTTCGGTGCAGCAATTCAACCATGAAGGCCTGATTCACACAGTCTCCTCTGAACAGTTGAGGTTAAGCTGTGTCTGTGACTTGAACTCTGTAAAGCATTTATTTTGGCTGCAATTTCTGAGGCTGGTTATTCTAATGAATTTATGCTCTGCAGCAGAGGTAACTCTGGGTCTTCCATTCCTGTTGCGGTCCTCGTGAGAGCCAGTTTCATCATAGCGCTTGACGGTTTTTGCGAATGCACTTGAAGAAACTTTCAAAGTTCTTGAAATGTTCTGTATTGACTGACCTTCTTGTCTTAAAGTAATGATGGATTGTCGTTTCTCTTTGCTTATTTGAGCTGTTCTTGCCATAATATGGACTTGGTCTTTTACCAAATAGGGCAAACTTCTGTATACCCCCCTTACATTGCCACAACACAACTGATTGGCTCAAACGTATTAAGATGGAAAGAAATTCCACAAATTAACTTTTAACAAGGCACACCTGTTAATTGAAATGCATTCCAGGTGACTACCTCATTAAGATGGTTGAGAGAATGCCAAGAGTGTGCAAAGCTGTCATCTAGGCAATGGGTGGCTATTTGAAAAATCTCAAATATAAAATATATTTTGATTTGTTTAACACTTTTTTGGTTACTACATGATTCCATATGTGTTATTTCATAGTTTTGATGTCTTCACTATTATTCTATAATGTAGAAAATAGTAAAAATAAAGAAAAACCCTTGAATGAGTAGATGTTCTAAAACTTTTGACTGGGAGTGTACACTGAACCAAAATATAAACGCAACATGTAAAGTGTTGGTCCCATGTTTCATGAGCTGAAATAAAAGATCCCTGAAATTTTCCATTCGGACAAAGCTTATTTATCTCAAATGTTGTGCACATTTGTTTACATCCCTGTTAGTGAGCATTTCTCCTTTGCCAAGATAATCCATCCACCTGACAGATGTAGCATATCAAGAAGCTGATTAAACAGCATGATCATTACACAGGTGCACCTTGTGCTGGGGATAATAAAAGGCCACTCTAAAATGTGGAGTTTTGTCACACAACACAATGCCACAGATGTCTCAAGTTTTGAGGGGGCGTGCAATTGGCATGCTGACTGCAGGACTGTCCACCAGAGCTGTTGCCAGAGAATGTAATGTTAATTTCTCTACCATAAGTTGTTTTAGAGAAATTGGCAATACGTCCAACCGACTACGTGTATGCCGTCATTTGGGCGAGCGGTTTGCTGATGTCAACGTTGTGAACATGGTGGTGGTGGTGGGGTTATGGTATGGGCAGGCATAAGCTACGGATAACAAACACAATTGCATTTTATCGATGGCAATTTGAATGCACAGAGATACCGAGACGAGATCGGAAGGATCTGTACACAATTCCTGGAAGCGGAACATTTCCCAGTTTTTCCATGGCCTGCATACTCACCAGATATGTCACCCATTGAGCATGTTTGGGATGTTCTGGATCGACGTGTACGACAGGGTGTTCCAGTTCCCGCCAATATCCAGCAATTTCGCACAGCCATTGAAGAGGAATGGGACAACATTCCACAGGCCACAATCAACAGCCTGATCAACTCTATGAGAAGGGGATGTGTCGCACTGCATGAGGAAAATGGTGGTCACACCAGATACTGACTGGTTTTCTGATCCACGCCCCTACTTTTTTGTAAGGTATCTGTGACCAACAGATGCATATCTGTATTCCCAGTCATGTGAAATTCATAGATTAGGGCCTAATTTATTTATTTCAATTGACTTATTTCCTTATATGAACTGTAACTCAGTAAAATCTTTGACGTTGCGTTTATATTTGTGTGTGTATGTGTGTTTGTGCCTCTCTCCAGCAGTGTCTTTAATTGAAATCTATGCCACTAATGAAAGAGTTGGCCTCCAGTGCTGAAGAATGGCAGCACCATCTTATTAAATTACTTCATTCCTAATTCTATGGGTAGCACTCTGTTCATATTATGTGTGTGTTTTGGCTGCATTCAGTCACTTCCATTCATATCAGCACAGAGAGAGACAAGCCAGAGAGCTGCTCTCGCTCTTTCTCTCCATCCTGTTTGTCTGTTCTCTAGGTCATCCAGGGTTGGGTCCCTCTGTGCCTCGCTGTGTCCCCAGGGAGGGTGAGGGTAAAGTGGGCTGGAGCGGGCACCCAGCTGTTCCCTGCCCATGGGGCTCAGCTCACGCTGTTTGTGTATTTGCTCTATCCTGCTGTGTGTGTTTTCTATTAGTGTGTGTGTGCGTGCATTCTATCACAGCAGTTCCACAGCCTTGTTGTGACTCCTGCCTGCATATCTGTCAGGGACACGAGTGACGCCTGTACACCCATCTGCTCCTCAAACACCATCCTCCCTTCCTCTCTTCCAATGTCACTCTTTCTCCTTCACACCCTTCCATCTCTAACACTGCCAACCACAGCAGCGTTCCCCATCTCTCCACTCTCACCCTCCCTCCCCCTCCTTTCACTGCCACCCTTTTCTCTCTTCTAAATCATTTTCCTCTGAAGCCTCCCCATCCTGGAGACAGTGCTGAGTCATATCCTGTCCTTCTGTTTACTCTCTAGTCCGATAGTCTAGTCCACCTGGCATGGAAAATATATTGTTCTGTGAAGGGAATGGTATGTAATGTGCAGTCCATGATAAGGAGGGTAGGTTGAACATACTATTCCTGTGTGTTGGAAATACCATTGAAATACTAAAGAATAAACCACAAAACCTCTGTCATTATCAGAGGATTTGATGCCTCCTGCTGGTTATTCTTAGAACTGCATCAAAACATGAGAAATGTCAAATCAGAGTTTATTGGTTGCGTACACAGATTTGCAGGTGTAATAGCAGGTGCAGTGAAATGCTTATGTTACTAGCTCCAACAGTGCAGTAGAATGTCTCACAAATACAATACAAATACACAAATAATCAAAACAATAAATCAAGAACTGTCAGAACTAGTCCAATTAACAATCCAAAGATACTGTATATTAGCGTGAGCAGTTTCAGAATACAGAATATAAATATGTAGTGTGTATAAACAGTATATAATTTGGAAAAGAAAATGGTATGTACAGTATTAGGTATATTAGGATGGGCTATGTGGAGAATACAGTATATACATACACAGTGAGTAAGCAACAGTATAGAAACAGTACATGAAGTTACCAGTGTTCAATGTCTCACATGGGGCATTAGTCTCAAGGTGCAGGGCAGAGTACCGGGCAGGTAGCCAGCTCGTGATGGCTGTTCAACAGGGTGATGGCCTGGTGATAGAAGCTGTTTTTCAGTCTCTCAGTCCCGGCTCTGATGCACCTGAACCTTCTCTGTTAGACAGCATCCGAGTGAACAGACTGTGGCTCGGGTGACTAAGGTCCTTAATGATCTTCTTGGCCTTTCTTTGACACTGAGTGCTGTAAATGTCCTGGAGGGCAGGCAGTGTGCCCCCCCGTGATGCGTTGGGCTGACCGCACCACCCTCTGGAGAGCCATGCAGTTGAGGGCGGTGCAGTCGCCATAACAGGTGGTGATGCAGCCCGACAGAATGCTCTCAATGGTGCATCTGTAGAAGTTTGTGATGGTCTTAGGGGCCATGCCGAATTTCTTCAGCCGCCTGAGGTTGAAGAGGCTCTGTTGCACCTTCTTCACCACAGTGTCGGTGTGGTGGGCCCATTTCAGGTCCTCAGTGATGTGCAAGCGAAGGAACTTGAAGCTTTTTAACCTCTAGACTGCGGCCCGTGGATGTGGATGGGGGCGTGCTCCCTCTTCTGTCTGCTGTAGTCCACGATCAGCCTCTTTGTTTTGTTGACATTGATGGAGAGGTTATTTTCCTGGCACCACTTCGCCAGTGCTCTAACCTCCTCGCTGGTGGCGGTCTCGTTGTTCTGGTAATCAGGCCTACCACTGTTGTGTCGTCAGCAAACTTGATGATTTAGTTGGAGTCGTGATCGGCCACACAGTCATGGGTGTACAGGAGTGGGATGAGCACGCACCCCTGCGGGGCCCCCGTGTTGACGGTCAGCATGGCAGAGTTGTTGTTGTCTATCCTCACCACCTGGTGTTGGCCTGTCAGGAAGTCTAGGACCCAGTTGCAGGAGGAGTTCAGACCCAGGGCCCTGAGCTTAGTGACGAGCTTGGAGGGCACTATGGTGTTGAAAACTGAGCTGTAGTCGATGAACAGCGTTCTCACATAGATATTCCTCTTGTCCAGGTGGGATAGGGTGGTGTGCAGTGCCAAGGCAATTTAGTCATCCATGGATCTGTTGGTGGTATGCAAATTGTAGGGGATCTAGGGTGTTGGTGAAGGTTATATGGTCCTTGACTCTCAAAGCACTTCATGATGACCAAGGTCAGTTCTACGGGGTGATAGTCATTTAGATCAGTTACCTTAGCTTGCATGGGTAATGTGAGTTTTTTTGTATGAGTAGGCCTAGTGACCTAGCCTGAGCGCAAGTTGGTTTGTGCCATCATGTCAACTGCCTGTCACTCATTGTTTGGCTTGACAATGAGCAATGGAAATGGAAAAAGCACAAACAGATCTGGCACCAGGCTACTAGTGCACCTTTTGTATCAAAACTATTCAGCATACTACTGTTACGTCTTAGATATCAGAATGGCCAAAGAAGAAAACACAAAACTTTAAGGAGAAATACATTTCTTTTTACAAAAATAAAAAATATTATAGCACCTTTCATGATGACATACGCTACAGTATTTTTAAAGGAACAGTCCATACAGAGAGTGGAATGTGTTTGCCAGTAGAAACCGTAGCAGTTCATTAGTCTCATATCATTCACTTTGTTTTTGTTATTGGTTTTACACACATATCTCTAATACAGTGAGGGAAAAAAGTATTTGATCCCCTGCTGATTTTGTAAGTTTACCCACTGACAAAGAAATGATCAGTCTATAATTTTAATGGTAGGTTAATTTGAACAGTGAGAGACAGAATAACAACAAAAAAATCCAGAAAAACACATGTCAGAAATGTTATAAATTGATTTGCATTTTAATGAGGGAAATAAGTATTTGACCCCCTCTCAATCAGAAAGATTTTTGGGTCCCAGGTGTCTTTTATACAGGTAACGAGCTGAGATTTGGAGCACACTCTTAGAGAGGGAGTGCTCCTAATCTCAGTTTTTTACCTGTATAAAAGACACCTGTCCACAGAAGCACTCAATCAATCAGATTCCAAACTCTCCACCATGGCCAAGACCAAAGAGCTCTCCAAGGATGTCAGGGACAAGATTGTAGACCTACACAAGGCTGGAATGGGCTACAAGACCATCGCCAAGCAGCTTGGTGAGAAGGTGACAACAGTTGGTGCGATTATTCGCAAATGGAAGAAACACAAAATAACTGTCAATCTCCCTTGGCCTGGGGCTCCATGCAAGATCTCACCTCGTGGAGTTGCAATGATCATGAGAACGGTGAGGAATCAGCCCAGAACTACACGGGAGGATCTTGTCAACGATCTCAAGGCAGCTGGGACCATAGTCACCAAGAAAACAATTGGTAACACACTACGCCGTGAAGGACTGAAATCCTGCAGCGCCCGCAAGGTCCCCCTGCTCAAGAAAGCACATATACAGGCCCGTCTGAAGTTTGCCAATGAACATCTGAATGATTCAGATGAGAACTGGGTGAAAGTGTTGTGGTCAGATGAGACCAAAATGGAGCTCTTTGGCATCAACTTAACTCGCCATGTTTGGAGGAGGAGGAATGCTACCTATGACCCCAAGAACACCATCCCCACCGTCAAACATGGAGGTGGAAACATTATGCTTTGGGGGTGTTTTTCTGCTAAGGGGACAGGACAACTTCACCGCATCAAAGGGACAATGGACGGGGCCATGTACCGTCAAATCTTGGGTGAGAACCTCCTTCCCTCAGCCAGGGCATTGAAAATGGGTCGTGGATGGGTATTCCAGCATGACAATGTCCCAAAACACACGGCCAAGGCAACAAAGGAGTGGCTCAAGAAGAAGCACATTAAGGTCCTGGAGTGGCCTAGCCAGTCTCCAGACCTTAATCCCATAGAACATCTGTGGAGGGAGCTGAAGGTTTGAGTTGCCAAACATCAGCCTCAACCTTAATGACTTGGAGAAAATCTGCAAAGAGGAGTGGAACAAAATCCCTCCTGAGATGTGTGCAGACCTGGTGGCCAACTACAAGAAATGTCTGACCGCTGTGATTGCCAACAAGGGTTTTGCCACCAAGTACTAAGTCATGTTTTGCAGAGGGGTCAAATACTTATTTCCCTCATTAAAATGCAAATCAATTCATAACATTTTTGATATGTGTTTTTCTGGATTTTTTTGTTGTTATTCTGTCTCTCACTGTTCAAATAAACCTACCATTAAAATTATAGACTGATCATGTCTTTGTCAGTGGGCAAACGTACAAAATCAGCAGGGGATCAAATACTTTTTTCCCTCACTGTACATACAGGATAACAATGCAACCATCTTTTCTTCATATAAGTTAAAAAGTCAGTTAAAAATCCAAATAAAATGTAAAAACAACAAAAAGATCAGAAAAAAACAACAACAAAAAAATGCCCCTTTAGGGAAAATATTGCCCAACTATACAACCAAGGGTGCATTTCAATATTTTCAAATGGCCTCTTCTCCTCATTTCCTCTCCTTCACTGATCTGAACAGGCAGGGTAGGTCAAAGCAACATGATGGAATCCTGCTCGGAATTTCTTCTCACCTTTCCCATCAGAGCAGATGAAGGAAAGCAGACGAGAATGGGAATCCTCTTCACACTATGGACACACACAAGTCTCTCTCTGTAGCTCGGCTGCTACTGGTCTTCTCTCTGATTGGCTGAGCCCTTCCCGACACAGTCTTTGATCTCTCCCTTCAGCTCGGCCAGCTGTGTAGAGTGACTGGCCAGCGTTCCATTCACCTGTGACAGGTACGAGTCAGAGTGTCTCTCCAGCTCTGCCCTGATCCTCTCCAGGTGGTCCGCCAGCTCCCCCAGGCTGCCACACTGTCCCTCCACCTGGGACACACGACTATCCACCTCCTTCACCTCCCTCTGCACCCCCAAGGCCGTGCTCCAGCAGCCCTGCAGCTCCCCGGCCAGCCTCCTCCTCAGGCCCACCAGTTCTCCCTTCAGCTGGGCTAGTCGTCGCTCCCCAGCCCCTAGGAGGGAGGCCTGGCGCTCCACCAGCTGGGTGATGCCCTGGACCTCGGTGGCTAGCTGGTTCTCCCTGTGTGTCCACGTGGCGTTAGCATGGCCCACTTCCTTAGTAAACAGGCTAACAGAGTCCCTCAGGCCCTTCAGGGTGCGGTTGACAGAGTTGACATTGATCTTGAGGAGGGTGATCTCTCCCTGGACAGAGCCTTCCTCGTCCTCCTGGGCGATACGGTTCAGGAGGGTCTGCAGGGTGGTGTTGAGATGGTTTAGCTGGTTGGCGTGGGAGTCCAGACGACCTGACACCTTCTTCTCCACCTCCTCACACTCCTCCTCCATCTCCGCTAGGCCTGTCCCTGCGCCTCCTCCAGGAGGAGTGACGGGGGAGCAGGAAGAGGTGCAGAGGAGCTCCAGGTCTGTTAGTTGTTTCTGGATGCCGTCCAGGTCTCCCTCCACCCTCCTCCTGACCGACTCGATCTCTGTCTCCAGGGCAGGTACCACCTGACCCTCCAGCAGAGCCGGGGCAGTGGCGTTCCTCAGCTCTTCCACGGCCATAAACACCCTGTCCTCCATGGTCTTCAGCTTGTCCTCCAGCAGGGTCTTGAAGCCGTCCAGGCCCCCAGGCACCCCGCCAAGCCCTACTTCCCCAGTCTCGGTGGCATTGAGCCGGGCATCCATGTTCTCCAGACGGGCCTCTATCAGGGTCTCGATGTGGATGGTCTGGTCAGTGAGAGCAGCCTGGAGCTGGCGCTGAGACTCTGTTAACCCCGTCACTGACTCCTCTAGCATCAACACCCTCTGGGACAGGCTGTTCACCTGCAATGATAGTCACATGTCAGGCATGTAGTGTAGCAATAAGCCAATAGTCATGTACATGTTTAAGCCATTTAGTAGATACTGTTATCCACAGACAGAGGCTTACAATAAATGACTTTATATTACAATAGGGGTAATATTTACATGAATGTTTCATATTTACATCTAATATTAACTGTTACCCAATTTTTCACATTACATTTTTCAAGGCGTGTATGCCCATAGCATTTGATGTGGTAGCTAGTGTTTGAAGTATTGATGTATTTCTGTTGCCTCAATAAAAACATGCATGTCCGCCAATCAATCTGTATTGCTGAAGCGTTACAGATTGTGCGATAGAAATGTAAAGCACATTTTCGATTGAGCCGTCATATGCAGCGTTTACTGTGAATGCTGTCTCTGCTAAAGCGGGAAGATTGCCTTTAAATTTAAATCACGCTGTAACGCTGAACTTCCGTGATGCGGATTGAATAGAGCCCCAAAGTGAATTGGTACCTGTCCGCAGCAGCTCTCAGTGAGGGTCAGTCCCTGTATTTGGGCCTGCAGAGTACCCAGCTCCTCTCTCAGGCCAGTCTCTCTGCCGTCCAGGGACTGCTGAATCTGCTCCTGTCCGTTCATGTGTTCATTATGACACTGTCTCTGGACCTCCCCTATCCTCTCCTCACAGTGGTTCTCCAGGCCAGACAGACGCCTCTCGAAGCCGTCCAGGATCTCAGCACGGACGTCGGCTAGCTTAGCATCCAGCAGCTCCTCCAGGATGGAGGGAGAGCCCGATCCAGGGATGGGCCTGCCGGTCGCAGCCTCCAACAGCCTCTTTAGCTGCCCGTCATGGCCCAGAACCATGCCCTAATGAATGAGAATGACAATTATATTTTACATTTTAACATTTTAGTCATTTAGCAGACGCTCTTATCCAGAGCGACTTACAGTTAGTGAGTGCATACATAATTGTTTATTTTTTCATACTGGCCCCCCGTGGGAATCGAACCCACAACCCTGGCGTTGCAAACGCCATGCTCTACCAACTGAGCTACATCCCTGCCGGCCATTCCCTCCCCTACCCTGGACGACGCTGGGCCAATTGTGCGCCGCCCCATGGGTCTCCCGGTTGCGGCCGGCTACGACAGAGCCTGGATTCAAACCAGGATCTCTAGTGGCACAGCTACCACTGCGCCACTCGGGAGGTTGACCCTTTGACACTGTAAGTGGTTGACATTGTGTGGGAATAGGTCAGTGCGAAGCCAAAGATATACAGAATCTCAGTGTAAAAAGGTTTGATTTTTGATTTGGACATCTGCTTGTTTTTCTATATTTCCATAATCTAGCATAAACTATTCTAATGACAAAATTGTAGCACCCACCTGTATCTCCTCCAGCATGTGTCCCTTGGCTCTGAGCTCATCTTTCACCTCCGTCACCCTCCCAGCCAGATCCCCAAACTCGGGGAAACCCTCTCCCCCCTCCAAGCCGTCTGGGATCACTCCGAAGCCAACGGAGGAGTCAGAGAGACGGGGGGCAGTGGAGAGCAGGGAGCCCAGCATCTTGTTAGTATCCTCCCGGAGAGAGAGGCGCAGACGGTCCTCCAGGCCAGCCACCACCCCGTTCAGAGTGTCCAGACCCTGGGTTAGGCGACGCAGGTCCTCCTCCATACGCTCCAGACGTTCTCCGCTAACACCAACTTTATAACCTAGAGAGAAATAAAAAAATGATTACATAGGGCAAGGGGAGGAGAGGGAAGAGTAAAGGGTTTGAAAATATAAATTGGTTAATATTCCACCCCTGTCTGGTCTCACCATAGTTGGGTTTGCTGTTCCCGGTGGGCAGTTGTCCAGTGGGGATGGGTTTGCTATCAGGCTGATTTGGGAAGGGCCTCCCAGGCTCCAGATTAGCCCCCCCAGGGACAGGTTTGTGGTCCAAGGGGGGTCGGGGCTGCCCGTGAGGGTACCCCTTCATCCCTGGGCGGTGGGGGGCACCACCCTTGAAGGGGGGCATCATATCGGGCAGGGAGGTGTGTCCATCGTAGCAGTTCTCTCCAGAGTAGCCAGGACAACACCTCCACTCCAGCTCAGTGATGGTTTTATAACCCACCTTGTATTTAGGCTTGTAGAAGGTCCGGTACCTGAAGTGGAGGATGGGGAGGAGGAGAGAGAAGAAATAGAGGATGGAGAGGAGAGAGAAGAATTGGAGGACGGAGAGGAGGAGAGAGCAGGTAACAAGAGGTCTGAAAGTGAGATCAAAGGATCAGGGTGTGTATAATGAGACCGTGGAGGGTATAAAGGGTAGATTAGGGGATCGGTGTAGTGTGATGATATAGCCTCAGCTTCCTTACCCTCACTACGCCTGTTATCTTACTAAAGGGTCTACACCACTCTTCTAATGAAGAATAGTGATCTCTCTCTTTCTTTCTCTCTCGCTCCCTCCATCTGTATTTCTGATTCCCTCCATTTTATTTGAAGTAGAAATCCTTTGACTATTTCTCTCTGTGATGTCACTGCAGAGGACCTTTGAGAGGCTTCAGTCACACTGGAGAGAATCTGACATCCCAGCTCACAACGTCATTGCAGAGATGAGTGCACGCACGCACAAATGGACACACGCACAAACATACACATGCATGCACACAATCCAATTATTGTGAAAACAAGCAGAGCATTAACACTTTCAAACCCCTGAGGCCGGTTCAGAGTCACAGAGCCACTGACAAAAAAGAACAGCTGGGAGAGCAGCTGGAGGGGACAGTATGGCGTTAACTAGTAGTACAAACTGACACCACCAGAGGGCAGCACAAAAACATACTATGAGGAATTTGGTTTTTATATTTAATTAAAAAATGTTATGTTCAGTTCACATAATATCATTTAAAAGTATGCATTAAGGTGTTTGTAATAGAATATACTTGTCAAAAACGAATGTAGACATTATAACATGCCTTTCTATAGCTTCCAAAATCTTGTTTGCAATAGGAGTACCATAATGGGTGCACGGTTGCTTCCAAACAGCGCCCCGTGTCAGTCATGAAAGTGTACAACAGTGGTTGAGTCTCATAGTCAGTATCTTTTTCAACCTCCTGTTACTGTTAGTATGAGTGTCAGAAGCTGCTGGGTCTGAATTGACTACAGTAATTATATAGTTTCAAGTTTTATGTTTTTATTTTCCTTTTCCAACAATGCAGTAGTACTATAAAAAAAGTAAGTAAGCTATAAAAAGTAAGTAAGCTATATACAGGGTCAGTTCTAAGGTCAGTGACAATACCTTATTTACCATATTTAATGTGCAGGGATACTGGAGTGGTAGGGTTAGATATGTATAGGGATAAGGTGACTAGGCATCAGGATTACAGTATGATAAACAGAGTAGCAGCAGCGTATATGATGATTGAATGTGTGCAGAGTCAGTATAAATGTGTGTGCGTGAGCAAGTGAAGTGTACTTACATGACGACAGGACACTTCTGCCCCCAGATGCACTTGGTGGTGTACTCTGCCGTCACATAGGTGGCCATGCCGTCCTGCATCGTACATGTGATGTTTTTCTGTACCACATACGCACAGTGATTTCTGAGAGAGAGAGAGAGAGAGAGAGAGAGAGAGCGAGAGAGAGAGAGAGAGAGAGAGAGAGAGAGAGAATATCAATAACAACAACAAAAACAACAGGATATCATCAAGTCCTCAAGCCAATGCTGTGTCTCCTGTAGGACTCTGTGTACTGAAGCTGTCCATAACAACATTAGGGACAGTTGCCACTCCAACACACACAGCTGCTCTTCACAATGGCCAAGGCTGGAATTCACTCCTTCCACACTTTCTGAAAGTGCAGTGATGAAAATCAAGATTGAATTCTGGCCCAAGTTAGAAATGTCCAATGACACTGATTCCCCCATTCAGTGCGCTATACTTGAGGCCAAAATCCTACATGAAGACACATGTGTTGTTGAGACTCAGCCATCGACCGTCTCCAAGAGGCTCTGCAGGCTCATTCTGTCACTTTGACGCCAGTGCAACTATAGCAACTGCTAAATGTTCCTTGGCCGGTCCACACAGGAAGCAATGCTCCGGCCTCTTTAGGCTCAGATGTTAGGCGTTGTTGGGGTTCCAAGGGATACTTATTGCATATGAAAACGTAGCACTGCTCCATAACAGTTCCAGGGCACACAGAAGTGTTTTGGAGGAAAATTAGGGAATACGTTTGAGGCAGAGAAGTGTGTGTATGCCAAGTTAACAGGTTCATGGGGCAAAGAGAGAGGACAGGCTGTCGGAAATTATGAGAAACCACTGCCTTATTGGTTTAGGCATCCCCTGGCTTTCTCTCTGTGTGTGTGTGTGTGTGTGTGTGTGTGTGTGTGTGTGTGTGTGTGTGTGTGTGTGTGTGTGTGTGTGTGTGTGTGTGTGTGTGTGTGTGTGTGTGTGTGTCTCTCCCTGTGTTGACTCTATTGATAGGGGACTGGGGAAGGAATGACTGGGCTTCATACAGACCAGGCAACCTGTTGCCGGGGTGTGTGTCAGGAAGTGGTTAGCGGTGCTGTCGTGTGATCTGACCTGGTGAAGTATTATGGGATGTTGTTAGAGTCAATGGACTGCACTAACGTTACAGTGCTACTTTTTAGTGGTGGTGGGGGGGAGATATATTGTGCCTTCGGAAAAGTCTGTGTCCAATCTCCATAGGCATTTTCTCAAAATAACAAAAAGCAGGAAAGTACACATGCAAAGCGCTGTGCACACATACACAGACAAAGGCAAACATGAACACACACATCCCCCCCACCCCCTCACACCCACACTCATGTAGAAGGCCTCCATTAAAGTAAAATTCACAACATCGCAACTGGTTTTAAAATCATGCAGTAAAATGCTGAATAGGATTTTATCGTGGTAGTTTCCTCCCTATAAAGACTGGATTTATTGACAGTATGAAAAAGCTTTACTACCTGTTGTCTGGTTAATTCATGAGAATGCCAGGAGAAGGCCTGTTTTAGGGATAAGAAGCTAAGGTCATTGACAGCTGATGGAGAGGGGACTGTGTGTGTATTTGTGTTTGTTTGGAGTCAGCTGAAGGAGATTTGTTTGTCAGGTGCACATCTGGGCTGAGTGAGCAACCTTCAGACTCAGCACTGAGGCCTAGAGATCAGGAATCCAAATGCGCACAGCCACCGGAAAGTCTCTACTCCCCTCCTCTCCCTCTTTCCCTTCTTGCTTTCATCCCTCTCTCCCCTCATCCTTCTGCTTACTTCCTCCACGTTAATGGAGATGGTGGGATCAACCTTGAGAGCAGCGCCACACACACACTCTGGAGCTCTGCCTTCCCCGCCTCACGACCACTGAGACCGCACAGCAAGAACCGTAAAGATTACGAGGGCTTCATAGCCAGGAATATGAGGGAGGTGTGTGAGTGATCGGCTCAGCTGCCCTCAGCTGCTGTCCTGGTACTGAGAACTTGGACTTGGCCTATTGTGGTAAGACTGTGTTAATCCTGACTCTGGGGAATAGGGATGAACTGATCCAGGATCTGAGATGAGAGGATACTGAGTGTGTGTTTGAGAGGGATAAACTTCACACTGTTCTCATTCTTTCCATCTTCAGCATCAAAGATGTGTACACAACAGAGATCTGTCCATAACCCTACATGCTATTGCCTGAAACACAGTTCTCTCATCATTCTCTTCAACCACTCCACACTACCTGAAACAGATACCTCACCTTCCAAGGTTTCTCCCCAAAACAAACTATGCGTCACCTCACACCATCCACTCCACCAACCCCCCCCCCCCCCCCCCCCCCCCCCCCCAACAGAAAGAGCACAGTCCCTTCCTCACCTTTTCTCCCAGTCTCTCTCTCTCTCTCTCTCTCAAATATTTGCGTTGTAGTGAGCAAGTCATTTTTCTGGTGTAGGTCTGGTCTGGTCCCACTGTAAATATTTCCAGTACAGCCTTACAGTTCCTAACTCCCCTCTGAGTCTCCCAAGGGGAAAGGAGAATTCCCTTTCAAATTCTCCTATAAAGCGCTTTGGCAAATATTATTGCAAGTAGTCCCCCACCCTCTTTCAAGTCCAAAACAACTCACCTCTCAATCCATCTCCCCCTTTCCTTTGTTCTCCTTCTCTCTCCTTCTCTCTCCGCTCCTCCTCTCTTTCTCAATGTATATGTAATTTCCTTACTTTCTCTCTCCTCCCCAAACACTATACTCCAGGTATCATCAACTAGATTCAGCCGCGGGCCGTTCTTTTTCTGGAGTGGATGGTCGGTGGAGCCGGAACATAATTACAAATAATTTGTAGACTGCAAATTGACCCCAAGAATCCCAAACAGATATGTTTGACTGAAACATAATCATTTCAAACCTTCCTTGCATTTGTATACAGTCACGTGTCGCTCTATTATGCGTGGGAATACTTGGGAACAGATTTCTTAAATTAAAATCACTTGGAGCTGATTTCCTCCTGTTTTTATTTTTACAGTCTTTTATGTCCAACATTGGAAATTCCACACCAAGTGTCCCTTCGTTACTCTCTCTCTCCATCTGTACTTTCTCCCGCTGTCTTTTCCATAGTTGTAGTGACAATGTGAAGTGTGATTTTAAGGCTGTGTATTAATAACATGTTATTCTCAACTGCAAAGTTCCTGGATACCTGTCCCATCATGTCACCTCAGACAGATTTATTAGTGGACCGGGGAGAAACTTTCACAAATGTTTCAACAGTCTAGCATATGATCCCCAAAATGTTGGTCTCTCGGTCTCGGTCTGTCTCGGTCTCTCTCTGTCTCTCTCTCTCTGTCTCTGTCTCGCTCTCTGTGTCCTCTGTGTCTCCCATGCTGCTCTGGGCTCTCTCTCTCTCTCGTCTGCTCTGTCTTCATACTCTCTACTCTCTCTCTCGGTCTCCTTTTGTCCGTCTTCCCTCTCTCTCCATCTCCTCGTCTCTCTCTCGCTGTGTCGTCCTGCTCTGTGTCTCCTCTCTCTCTCTCTCTCTCTCCTCTCTCCCTCTCTCTCTCCCCTCTCCTCTCTCTCTCTCTCTCTCTCTCTTGTCTTCCTCTCTCCTCTCGTCTCTCCTCTCTCTCTCTCTCTCTCTCCTCTCTCTCTCCGTCGTCTCCCCTCTCTCTCTCTCTCCTCCTCTCCTCTCTCCCTCTCTCTCACACTCTCTCCTCTGTGCTCTCCGTCTCTCTCCGCTCTCTCGTCGTCCCTCCTTCTCTCTCTCTCTGTCTCCTCTCTCTCTCTCTCTCTCCTCTCGCCTCTCTCCTCTCTCTCTCGTGTACTCTCCTCTGCCTCCTCTCTTGTCTCTCCTCTCTCTCTCGTCTCTCCCTCTTCTCTCCTCTCTCTCCCTCTCTCTCTCTTCCCTCTCTCTCTCTTGGTCTCATCTCTGCTGTGTAGGTCCATGCCTCTCTCCCGTCTCTCTCTCATCGTCTCTCTTCTGCCTCTCTGGCATCTTCTCACTTCTCCCTTACTCATGGGGTGGAGAGAAATGTTAGCAGTTTTTAATATGATATCTGAGTGAGACTGACTAACAAAATCAATGGGGGCCCCCCAGCAGGTTATTCGACCATGATACAAGTTTAGATAGCTGACAGCTGAACTAACTTAGCAATCTAATTTTTTTTGCTGACATGGGCTAATTCACTGACTATCAGTGACTTACATAACACAACCAAATTTAGAAAATTCTAACTCGCAACAGTAAGTTGAGACCCCAACTGAGTTCCCCCCAAAAAAATATAGCCTTCAAAAGGGGCCCGCGGGCCGCAGTTGCCCATCCCTGTCTAAGAACAATGAAACGATGCAGGTGCTGTTATTCCAGAACCCAGCTCAGACATATACAGTACACACACAACAATCCCACTATACAAATGGCACAAACATTTCCTATAGCTTGTTTACTTTTGGAAGCACAGTAAGAAGCTCAAATAACGGTAGTTATTGTGCTAAACCATTTAAATACCTCTCTTTAGCCCAAGGTATTTCCTGATGCATTTAATCTATTTTAGGCTATAGCTACTAAAACTAAGGGATTGCAGACCGGGAGTAAAATAACTGCCATCGTGGGAAAGTATGTTGTGTTTGCTACAGTATGATGAATGCCTGTCTGTCAGACATCTACTTGGCATTATGAGTGAGCAAAGAGAAAGCAGTATACAAACATAGCGACAAGCTCATCTGCTTGTAGAGAAATATTAAAGAGTATTAAAATATTATTTCTAACCGCTGATTCTCCATTATGGACATGTACAGCACATAACAGTAGAGTTGACTATAGCTGGATGCATCCATGTCAAAGCATCTTGGGGAATGTCAAGAATGTCTGTATCACTGCTGTCATCTCTGCAAATCTAACAATATACTATATACACAACTTGTAATTGTCAAGTTTATCAGATGGACAGACGGACGGATGGACGGACAGACAGACATACAGACCCGGTATAGCCTATGCCCCCCACCCACTGGTATCCATAGCTGGGTCTGGCTCATATAACCATTTTCAGAGTCTATTGACAAAATGTTTGTGAGAATCAGCTGATTCAGTTTAAGCTTCACACTGTAATATTTGTTTACCATCAATGAGTAGGGCCACCAACAAAACAGAACACAACCAAGCAATAAGCAGTACCATCATAAGCAGCATCCCATTATATTTTCATATGCAAATAGCTCAAAAGGCTAAACTGGCATTGATCTGGCTTGACACAGGACCATACGTTCCCATGTGCACCTAGCTTGGGGCTGCACTCCATAAGTTTCCTGTGGAGCCCTCCCTTTAAATGCTGTGTCTGCAGCCACTGTATTTCTGGAGTTATGTTAATGGAACAGAAACATGGCAGCAGTAGAATACACTTCAAACAACATCCCAATGAGCTAAGTTGGAGTGAAAAACACACATTTTCCCCAATACTCCCCCTGTAGCCCTCTATGGTCTGTGTAAGTCCCATACAGTCCAGTTGTAGCCATTGTGATCATTGTCTACCTTGTTACTACCAATGAGGAGAGGGACACATTCCCTCCCACCAGGAAATAGTCTGCATGAATGGGGCTGAACGGCTGTTAAATCACATGCTCCATTGCACCAAGACAGTAAAAAGCAAAACAAGAAAAACGGCCAACAGACCAACGGCTGAAGACTAGACGGAGAATGTTGTGATGTGTGAATTCCATGTAGTGACAAGTAGGCTCCGGAAAAAAATGTATTTTGTTACGTAGCTTTGTACATGTGTGTTATGTTCTTGCTGGTGTTTCTATGTGTTAGAAATTCCAGATAATCTCACACACACCTACACATGCACACACACACACACACACACACACACACACACACACACACACACACACACACACACACACACACACACACATACACACCACACACACACCACGTGTGATATTTTCAAGGCTCTATATACACTATATATACGAAAGTATGTGGACACCCCTTCAAATTAGTGGATTCGGCTATTTCAGCCACACCCGTTGCTGACAGGTGTATAAAATTGAGTTCACGCACACATGCAATCTCCATAGACAAACATTGGCAGTAGAATGGCCCGTACTGAAGAGCTCAGTGACATTCAACGTGGCATCTTCAAAGGATGCCACCTTTCCAACAAGTCAGTTCATCAAATTTCTGCCCTGCTAGAGCTGCCCCGGTCAACTGTAAGTGCTGTTATTGTGAAGTGGAAACTTCTAGGAGCAACAACGGCTCAGCCGTGAAGTGGTATCCCACATAAGCTCAAAGAACGGGACTGCCAAGTGCTGAAGCGCGTTGCGCTTAAAAATCGTCTGTCCTCGGATGCAACGCTCACTACCGAGTTCCAAACTGCCTCTGGAAGCAACGTCAGCACAATAACTGTTTGTCGGGAGCTTTATGAAATGGGTTTTCAAGGCCGAGCAGCCGAACACAAGCCTAAGATCACCATCCACAATGCCACGCGTCGGCTGGAGTGGTGTAAAGCTCGCCGACATTGGACTCTGGAGCAGTGGAAACACATTCTCTGGAGTGATGAATCACGCTCCACCATCTGGCAGTCCGACGGACAAATCTTGGTTTGGCATATGCCAGGAGAATGCTACCAATGCATAGTGCCAGCTGTAAAGTTTGGTGGAGGAGGAATAATGTTCTGGGGCTGTTTTTTCATGGTTCGGTCTAGGACCCTTAGTTCCAGTGAAGGAAAATCTTAACGCTACAACAAACAATAACATTCTAGACGATTCTGTGCTTACAACTTTGTGGCAACAGTTTGGGGAAGGCCCTTTCCTGTTTCAGCATGACAATGCACCTACATTTACATTTTAGTCATTTAGCAGACGCTCTTATCCAGAGCAACTTACAGTTAGTGAGTGCATACATTTTTCATACTGGCCCCCTGTGGGAATCGAACCACAACCCTGGCATTGCAAACGCCATGCTCTACCAACTGAGCTACATGGGACTACCTGTGTACAAAGCGAGGTCCATACAGAAATGGTTTGTCGAGATCGGTGTGGAAAAACTTGACTGGACTGCACAGAGCCCTGACCTCAACCCCATCGAACACCTTTGGGATGAATTGGAACGCCGACTGCGAGCCAGGCCTAATCGCCCATCATCAGTGCCCGACCTCACTAATGCTCTTGTAGCTGAATGGAAGCAAGCCCCAGCAACAATGTTCCAACATCTAGTGGAAAGCCTTCCCAGAAGAGTGGAGGCAGTTGTCAGAGCACCTTACCGATCACTGCACCTGTACACAGCCCATCTGAAATTAGCCCACCCAACTACCTCATCCCCATATTGTTATTTATTTTGCTAATTTGCACCCCAGTATCTCTATTTGCACATCACCTCTTGCACATCTATCATACCAGTGTTAATACTAATTGTAATTATTTTGCACTATAGCCTAATTATTGCCTTACCTCCATAACTTGCTACATTTGCACACACTGTATATATATTTTCTGTTGTATTTTTGACTTTATGTTTTGTTTTACCCCATATGTAACTTTGTGTTGTTGTTTTTATCGCACTGCTTTGCTTTATCTTGGCCAGGTCGCAGTTGTAAATGAGAACTTGTTCTCACCTGGCTTACCTGGTTAAATAAAGGTGAAATAAAATAAAATAAAAGGCTGTTATAGCAGAAAAGGGGGGACCAACTCCATATTAATGGCCAAGATTTTGGAATGAGATGTTCGACGAGCAGGCGTCCACATACTTTTGGTCATGTAGTGTATATCCACTGCCCCAGACACCAACTGAAGTCATATATCTATGGTGGCTGTCTGCTTGTGACAGATCCCCAGGGTCCTGTATGACCTGGGTGAGTTAGACAGCCTATTATTACAACTGGAGGATAGATATATGTTCACCCTGTCTCTTTCTGCTTACCTTCAACTATGTCAGTCTCCACTGCAGCTAAAGGCACAGAATTCAAGATTACCACGCTCAACTCTTTAAATACTCATTGGCTGCAGGGGTTCAAGTACTTATTATACTCCTACAGTATGCCACGGTTATAGACCATGAATCTGGATGTGTTTGTGTATGTGTGTGTGTGTGTCCCCCCACAATAATAGCAAACAAACACACATTTGACCAACTGGGGACATTTTGTTGGTCCCCACAAGGTAAAATGCTATTTCTAGGGGGTTTGGGGTTAAGGTTAGAATTAGTGTTAGGGTTAGAATTAGGTTTAGGCTTAGGGTTAGGAGCTAGGGTTAGGTTTAGGGTTAAGGCTAGGTTTTCGGGTTAAGGTTAGGGTTAAGGTTAGTGTTAGGGTACGGGTTAGGGTTAGGGAAAATAGGATTTGAATGGGACTGAAATGTGTGTCCCCACAAGGTTAGTTGTACAAGACTGTATGTGTGTTCCTGTGTGTATATTTAAACCTATTGGCGTCAGTGCCCCTGTCGTAAACCAAACAATATGCCACTATAAAGGAGCACCAGGCAGTGTGTTGGTAAGCCCTGGCTCGTGACAGCGGCATTTCAGCCATTTTAGACTTCCCTGTAAAACACCTACTGTCTCTATGGAGATGTAAGGCAAGGGTGAGATGGAGGGATAGGGAGGAAGGGGGAGGAGGAGGAGGGGGAGATGGAGTGATCAGGAGGAAGGGGGAGGGTGAGACGGAGGGATCAGGAGGAAGGTGGTTGAAGGTGAAGGAGAGGGTTAGAGAGAGGTAGTGAGTGTAGAGAGACTGAGGAAGGGGAGAGAGAGTGAGTGAGTTCTAGTGAGGAATGTTGTGGTGAATATATGGATGACGGTATGATAAAGACTCACAAACTCCCTTTCTCTCCCTCACCAAGGGTGGAAAGAGTACTGAAATATCCTACTCAAGTAGAAGTAAAATTACTATCTTTGAAAAATATTCCAAAAAGTACTTGGAAAAGCTACTCAATTACAGTAAAAAGTTATTTTACACCTCTGGATATGGGTGAGGCATGTGAGAGAAGCGGGTTATGAGTTGGGATAAAGACTACGTTGGGCTGGGTCAGGGTCTGTCTGCTTGGTCAATTAGGGTGAGGAGGGGTGAGAAGGGTGAGGGAGAGTTGAGGAAGGAGGAGGGTGAAGGAGGGTTGAGGGTGAGGGAGTGGTAAGGAGGAAGGAGGGTGAGGGTAAGGATGAGGGAGGGAGGGGTGAGGGAGCGGTGATGCGAAAGGAGGGTGTGGGAAGGGTGAGGGAGTGGTGAGGAGGAAGGAGGGTGAGGGAGGGGTGAGGGAAGAGGGAGGGGTGTGAGGGAGGGTGAGGGTGAGGGTAAAGACTAAGTAGGGCCAGGGTTTGTCTGCTGGGGCTGGTAGAGGAAGGCAGCAGGTAGCTGGGGAGCTGTCCAGAGTGGTCCAGCTCTCAGGGGAAGCCAAGCAAGAGAAAGGGGGAAAGGAGAGAACAGAAAGACCCCAGGGACAAACCACAACATGCCATGTAGAATTCTCTCTCTCTCTGCAATGCACAACATCTCTCTGTTCTTAGCACTTTTTTCAGCATGGGTCACTCCCAAGCTATGTTCTTGTGTATAATCAATTAACTGCCATGATAGTCCTTTTAGGTTTTATAATAAAACGAGGGAGAGAACCACATGAACTGGAGCGAGAGATTCTCCCCCTAGAGCCAGCTATTTTATCACTTGAGTAAGTATTTGGTGGTGACTAGAAGAGATCAAAAGCTTTACTTGCGTCAGAGCACAAAGTATGTCCCCACATTTTTACCCCTTACGGTAAATCTACTGTAGCCTAGTGTTGAATTATACTGAGGCTGGAATTCAATCAAATTCACCACAGTCATGTCTTCATTGCCAAACTTAAAGCCAGCACACACACACTTCTTATTTTGACACAAGCCTCAAGACTCACTGTGAGGGGAGCCTGTCAAGTAGTAGTAGTAGTAGGTTTTTCCCTTCCCAAAATATGCTGTACCTCAATAAGGGTTTGATTGAATTGAGCTGGGAATTACTACATGACTAAAACAGGATCCAAAAGCAACAACCCCTGGTACTGGTTTAGACTTCCACTAGCACCACTCCCATCTGGCTAGGGGTACCCAGCTGTAGGTCTGCTTCTAATTGACCCCCCCCCCCCCCCCCCCCCCCCACCACACACACACACACACACACACACACACACACACACACACACACACACACACACACACAGCTCAGAAGATCAATACCCCTGAAATCAGCTCAGCGCTCCCCTTATAATGAGCTCTTTGTCTCCATAATGCAGCATGTTTCTTCATAATGTTTATCCTCAGTCACAGATGGTTTTAACCGCAGAGAATGGCTGATGGTGTGTGTGTGTGTGTGTGTGTGTGTGTGTGTGTGTGAGAGAGAGAGAGAAACAGAGTCAATTCAGCCAGTGTTATTGACGCGATGCACTAACCAAAAGCATATTTTTATTACCCATCCGTAACATGGGTTAAGAGATAAGATAAGATGAATGTGTTACTCAAGGGAAACAGCAGAAGGTGTGGTATTGTTAATTATTTTGAAGACTTGGAAAAGAGCTATAAGTCCAGATTTCTATTTGCCATGGAAGTCCCTTTCACTTGGAGAGGTGCTGTATCAATCCCAATCATTACAATGGAGTAAGACTAGTAAAGGTGAAGTTAGGCGCAGTTTCAGGAGGTGCACTTACTTGTGGCGGGTCATGGGTTTGCCCGGGGTGTAGTGTGGGTTGACTCCAGCCTTGTACAGGTTGTATCTGTTGCCATGACTTCCTCCAAAGAACGGGTTCCCATGGCCTGTTCCATAGAAGGTTCCTTTGGTGTCCACCAGTGACAGCAACACTCCTAGAATAAAGGGCTGCAGAGCAGCTTGAGAAAACTTGGACCTCATCTTCTCAGAGGCTGCCAAAATAGCACCCGTGGAAATGCAACAAAAAGGAGGACAAATATAAATGATTAAGGGACCGATTGAGAACTAAAAATGAGATTTAAAAAATGAGCTGTGTGTTAGGATCCTGATGCCTGCAGTGTTGTTGTCTTGTCTTCAGTTAGCCCTGAGGGAAACCTGTAGTCCAAACATCTGCAGTGTCCACAGCATTCTGACCTGTCCTCTTTAACACTCTCTCCAAGACAACTGCCAGCCACAGTCAGAGCAGAAGAAAACCTAGAGAAGGAGAGGGAGAAGGGAAGAGGGAAAGAGCACAACCAAAGGTAAAGTAGAGGACAGGTGAAAAAGGGGGAGACAGACAGAGGAGAGAGAGAGATAGAGAGGCAGAGAGGGTCTCTAGGAATACCACAGCTCCATGCGAATGTGTGTGTGAGTGAGAGGGGGACGTGCTGACTAAGCTCCCTCAGCCTTCTGTGTGCTGTGTGTGTGGAGCAGTGACTCCACTACTGACTCTGAGTGGGCAGGCTGACAGGCAGCAGTCATTTGCATATCCCTCCCAAACCCCAGCCACTACCCCTACCCTGACATGTTGCCCAGCCCAGACACAGGGGAACAACCCCTATATATTTCTCTCTCTCTCTCTCTCTCTCTCTCTCTCTCTCTGTCTGTCTGTCTGTCTCTATAATCCCTACTCTATCCTCTATCTCTTTCTCTGCTCTTTTCTCTCTCTATCTCTCTCTCTCCTCTCTCCTCTCTCTCTCTCTTTTCTCTCTCTCTCTCTCTCTCGCTCTCTCCTCTCTCTCTCTCTCTCTCCTCTTCTCTTCTCTCTCTCTCCTGACTCAAAAGGAAAAACAGAGCAGTCCAGGCCGCCACCATCCTAACCTACCCTCTTTCCTCTTACCCTCTCCTCCCCCCTTTACTATCTCTCTCTCTTCTTCCCCACTCACACCAGCTCTAGCACCAGCAGGCTTTTCCCTTTCTCTCTCTCTACCCCTCCCTCATATCTACAATGCACCTCCTTCTCTGTCTCTTTCCCTCCCTCATATCTACAATGCACCCCCCCCCCCCCCCTATCCCTGTGCCTTTACCCAGACAATGGCGCCTCTACTGTGTCCCCCAAATCCCTTACCCCACACCTCTCAGCCCCCACTGGATGCATTCATATAGCCACCTCCTCCATCTTCAACATGTCTACTTACAGTACATGACAAAAACCACAGTGGAGTACATTATACCGATGTACATACAATTAAGGTGATGAACAGTGAAAGAAACAAAGTGTCAGCCAAAGCATTCGCCACGTGACCCTGTCTTTCATAGCCCTGGTAAACCCAAATACACTCAAGTTTCAGAGACCTCACATAGTCTCTTATCAGTTAAATGCCACCTTGTGTTCTGTATATCTCTTATCAGTTAAACACCACCTTGTTTTCTGTATATCTCTTATCAGTTAAACGCCACCTTGTGTTCTGTATATCTCTTATCAGTTAAACACCACCTTGTTTTCTGTATATCTCTTATCAGTTAAACGCCACCTTGTGTTCTGTATATCTCTTATCAGTTAAACACCACCTTGTTTTCTGTATATCTCTTATCAGTTAAACACCACCTTGTTTTCTGTATATCTCTTATCAGTTAAACACCACCTTGCTTTCTGTATATCTCTTATCAGTTAAACACCACCTTGCTTTCTGTATATCTCTTATCAGTTAAACACCACCTTGCTTTCTATATATCTCTTATCAGTTAAACACCACCTTGCTTTCTGTATATCTCTTATCAGTTAAACACGACCTTGTTTTCTGTATATCTCTTATCAGTTAAGGGAAAGAGATAGCAAAAAATATAGCAATGTCATTGAGACACACCTGGATAAATAAACAGTAAGTAGATGGTCATCTGTACCTGGTTTAGGGCACTAAGTGTCACTTCCCTTCCCTCGGGCCATCCTGAGAACCGTGTAGGGAGAGACAGGTGTATGAAACAACCCCTTTGTTTGAGTGTTTGATGTGGGAGGCCCTTCACACCACTGTGCCTACAGTTTACAGTGTCTTGTTTGCTCTTCATTTGCAAGTTATTGTGAAAGGAAAACAGGCCCTCACAGTATTCCAAAGGACGCACAAACATAAAGGTACACACACACACACACATTTTCTGTCCTCTGAAATGCACAAAGAATATCACAACACTTGCAATTGGATTTATCTCATCAATGGTATGGTTATACTGTGTTGATAAGCGATGCACTGGTAGAGCTGTTTAGCAAACCAAAAATGTTACCCACTGTGTTTGTCCAAAAAGCCCAAAGTGTTGGTATCTGCAGAATAGTTTCGCTGCAGCTTCATGCTGCCGCTGATCTAGATTATAAGCTGCTGAAGATTCACTCTCTGTCTTTCCAATAACTGACACACTCACAAGCACAAAAGCACGCACGCACACACACACACACTGATTCTGTCTATGGAGGCAGCTGCAGGAGATTCACCCTTTGTCACCCCCATAACTGTCACCTCCAAGACCGATGTGAAAAGTGAAGAGGAAACTGTTTTTAAACGGTGTCACCTCCAAGACAAGACAGATGTGAAAAGTGAAGAGAAAACTGTTTTTAAACAGTGTCACCTCCAAGACAAGACAGATGTGAAAAGTGAAGAGGAAACTGTTTCTAAACGGTGTATTTTCTGGCGGTGATAGATCCTTTGAGAAATGTGTTTTGAAGCCATCTTTCTGGTGGATCACTGACAGGAGACTTGATGGCTGTCTCCAACCCAGCCACTCCAAAACCAGATGCTATTAAGACCCTAGCCTATCCAGTCAGGGACTATGTCGGGAAATTAGCTGTCCGCTAACTCACTAAATCACTTTTACGTCTCTGTTGATTCGGAGATGTTGATTATTTTTACAATCTAAAGTAGATCAAATAATAAAGGAATACATATTTGAATGTGTTCTGTGGCAGAGCAGAGCTTTCTACTTTCTGGGAGCTTTCTTGCTTTATTGTTTAGTCAGTGCAGGTGTGCACATGGAGTGATTTGTGCTGTCAGGTATATTAACTTTAATCACATTATCTTCAGTTATTTTGAGTCATCAAATTGGTAGATTGTTATAAAACAAACTTCAAAAAACCAATAAAGGTGATAGGAATCACCTGGGAATCCATAGTAACACTCAAGATTGTTTTGATGTGTGTTCTCTCTGGTCATTTCTCTGGGATTCGGTGTAGATTAGTTAAATATGGTACCCAGATTTCTCGTAGCTTCATGGTTTTAGAAAACATATGTGAGCAGTTCCAGATAAGCACCCTTATCTATCTGGACAAATAGTTTCCCTACATCCAAGAGAACTTAGGAGAGAAAAACAAAACGATTGTATCCATGCATTAGCCTCCTATTGTTCACTTTGTGAATATGTCAAATGCTTTCCAAGGTTTCTCAGCCCTACTCTAAAGTCTAGCGAGCCCAACTGTCAGCTATGGTCCCACAATACAGTGCGTGAACCACACAGCAGAACAGTCCTGCGCTGAAAGAGCCACCAGAGACTGGCTTAATGAAACCACTTTAACGAAACAGCACACCACTCAATTAGTGTCATTACTGTAACCCTTCCATTACCCATCACTGCTTCCTATTATCAGCCTGCACTTTTACTGGACATGCTTTTATTAGATTCAGCCATAAAAGAGAGAGAGAGAGAGAGAGATTCCTGGGTTGTGACATCAGCCACTTATTGCAGCGTTAGGACACTCGATCCATTCTCACAGTAGTGACCTGGGAAACGACCCGCTCTCCATAAAGACAGGGAAGAAGAAAAAGAAGGAGAGAATATTTCTTTCATAGGCATGTGGATTTCGCTCCAGCTCAGCAGCTGCTGCCAGAGTGGAGAATGGGCCTGGGTCACATGTGTACACAATCAACTCTAATATATGGTGATATGTTGATTTCCCTTCGCCATGCTTCTGCCAATGGACATGGGCCATTTGAAGCCTCGTGGTGTATGAGGGAAGAGAGGGAGGGTGTGTGTGCATGTGTGCACGTTTGATCGTTGGTTTTCGGGTAGCCTGAACTTCAGTTTTCATTGATCTTGTATCAACTAAAAAACTGTGAGGTAAAAGAGAGTATAAGGGCTGCCTCGTGTGACAAACCATATAGGTGGTTTGACCTCACTCTCTTACACTTTAAACCCTGGCCATTAACCCTTTACACTTGTGTGAACTGGCCTCTGTAGATAGGGCTAAATGAAAATGTTGCTTACAGAAGAAATATGAAAATCATACGCATAACCATGGGAGCAGGGAACAGTTTGGAAATAATGGGAAGTTCACCTGACACAAGACTAAATCCAAACATTACACTGTTGATTTTATGTGCATTTTAAATGTAATGTACTTTTCGCCGCATTTGTTGATAACGAAATCTGAAAAAACTCTGGATACATTCACTAACATGATAAGAATATTCCTGAAAAAATGTGGGCTAGGTGCAACATAAGACAAAGAAATGACAAGGGTTTGAGTGAGAGGACTAACTCGTGTCTCCAAGTTGCCACACACCTCTCCAAAGTGCGTAAGTAATTTCAATCCACTTTTATGACTCAATGAAGAGTTCAACTGTAAGGTGCTTTTTTGAACTCTCCTAGCTGTGCCGTTGAGGAAGTAGAGCAAGCACACTTTTGGTTGTTTTGTTTGGAACACAACCCTGCATCCCCGCCATCACACAATTACTTCTTTACACAATCCCAAAATTGTCCATTATAAATCGCACTCTTGGTCAAGTTGGCATGATTTGAATGCTTGTTCTATTGCCAACATTACTAGCTAAGTTATAAAATAATATCTTACAGCGTTAGGCTTTCACAAGGCAATTCAGAGAAACATATTGTAATTCTGGTGTGCATAGAAAGGAGTCATGAGTGCATTCAGGTGTGTGTGCCCCGGCAAACTTTCTTCACAATAAACAAACATAGGCTCATTCTGTTCAGAACAACCCAGGGTATGACGCCATGTCATC